TCACTACATGGTGTATATAAAACCTTTTAGGGTTTTCACTGAAACACCACAGCCATGACAAGTGTCTGAACATACTTAAAATGCTTTTCACTTACCCTTGACACCAACAAGTAAAATAACGAATCTGCAGAGAGAAAGAAAAAAAAGTCTGTGTGAGTGCAGGGGACACTTGAATACATACAGCTGTCTAACGCCAAAGAAGCATGTGTACTGAATGCTAGCTATTGTAAAAGCTGCAACCTTTTACAACCTTTTACCTTTTGCTATTGCAAAGCTTTTGGTGATAGCGTTTGCATGCTATTGGTGATTGGTACTGCTATTACTTATTGCTTTGATAGACTGATTATGGTCATTCTCTCCATATAAAATAAAGAAACGGAATGGGTTTGTGTTTCTTCAGGTCCAAGCTCTACACATCACGAACCAGAGAAGATACAATTGAAGACAACAAAAAAAAAAGAAAAATAAATAAATAAATGAAATAAGTGAAATAAAAATTGAGCGAGAAATTTAGTGTCCAGGGGTTGGCGCTCTTCATTCAGTTTTCAGTGGAAAAAAACACACAGGCTGAAGTTGCCAGTTCAGTCATTTTCCCGCTGAACTGACTGTGCTGCTTCTTGCCGCCGGGTTCTCTCCCTTTTGGTGCATTTTGTCACACAGCCATGGCAACCCTTAGAGTCAAACACTATCCCCGGAAGTTTCCTAGAACTGGCAACAAATTAAATAGAGGAGAGAGAAAAATGAGCTTCTTACTTCTTTTCGGTGGAGGTTCATGCCTCGCTGCGCTGCAAGTCTCATTTCATGTACTGACTTTGGAAAACGCAGAAGTGAGTTTTTTTTTATCTTTTTTTTCTTTTTACTTACGCTCCATATATGAAGTTTATCAATCTTCCCGCGCCTTGAAATTTTATATTTTATATAACATACGGGAAAGTGAACAAAAGGTGACTATCTCTTATATGACATCGAATCTAAAGTTAATGCGATAAAAGGCTTGGCTCAGTGTTACACTCATTTATTCTGTTCAGTTCAAACGTGTGAGACGCAGTCACCCCACCACAGGTAAGGCTTTTGAATCTACCTGCAGCTGAGGAGGATAATCAGCTGATTTCATAATCAATGAAGTGTGTGGTTCAAGATGAGTTTTCAGTATCAAATACCTCCCAGGTCCCGGCTTCTAAACTGTGATTATTTCCTGTTTTCCTTGTTTTTTGTTTGTCTTTGTGAAATTAACTAATTTGAATTTTATTTCTTGTTCTTGACTCTGTGTGAGAATATCACTGTGGAAAAAAATTAAGAGAGATTTTTTGTTATTCCTCCAGTGTTTTATAGATATGTTAGATCCAAAAATCTAACATAAAGATGAATCCAGATTTTCAAAATTAATTAGCTTGTGCGACTCCTGCATAGCTCACAGGGCATTCGTGCTTTTCCTGCCACACCCAGCTTCAGTCACCCAGGCTGATCCCACCTCCATCCCCACCTTAGTATATTGTTCCACCGGATAAACCTGTCAACTAGTACATTTACTCAAGCATTTCTCCTACTTCCTCATCTTGACTCAGGGGAACATATTTTAAAATCGGTATTTTCAACTTGAAAACTAAAAATAAATCTGAACCTAAATTGTTGTAATTATGATACACAAATTTCGGCCTTTTACTTTAGGTACTTTACCTAACCTAACCATTCACTAGTTTAAAGACCAGGAGGATCCACAAAAGTTGGGGGGAAAACGCAGATAACTGGCAACGGTGCATTAGAGCCGGCATAAAATCTGTGCCAGATCAAACATGTGGATCGATCTCCTATGGTTAACCTTTGGGGAAAGAAGACAGCAGCCAAAAGTAGCTTTAAATGTATGTTCGTGCTAATTTCTTTTATAGTGTAATATTTCTAAATTTACTCACAATGATTTAAATACTTCTTCATCCGCTAGACGAGAGTGTAAAACTTCCCGTGGCTATTTCCTTTGTCTCATTTCTCAAATGACAGTAAAAGTTGTCAAAGTAATATGTGAAATTCTTCACAGCCTTGTGTTATCTCTCATTCTTTGCATTTTGCAGATGTTTAGTTTATCTTTATATTTCCGTCTGCAGTCTCACCAGTTGCTGATTGTGTTTGTGGTCAAAACAGATGATTTAATCTTTCATTCTAACAGGTTCCCTCACAGTGTCGCAATTGTGTGTATATATGTAAGGCCTTCATGCTACATGCTGTCACCATCTATAATGCATGATATCACTCTGGGAGAGAAGCATCTGCCAGATGTTATTGTCATCACTTTAATCATCGGGCATTTTTAAAAAATTTCACAAATAAAGTATTTCTCATTTACCAAAAAAATCCCAAACCCAAAAAGTTTAGTCTTTTTGGTTGTCTGTGAAGTCCCACAGGCATCACGTCATGAGCGTTGTAAAGCGTGTTTACGGAGCTTGAGTGTGTCAAGTCACAGCAGGTTGTTAACCTGTAGTAGCATGCTCAGATGGTTTACAGATGTAACAACTATGCATGACAAATAGGAGTGTGAATGTGTGCGCAAAGTCAAGACCACATATTACAGGAATATGCGGAAGAGTGAGTGTAAGGTCATTTCCTTCTTCATTGAAGAAAAGAGCATTAGGTGTAAGGTTGGCCAAACAGGAGTGACAGGATGATCTGTAAATTACAGCATGGTTTCGTTACTGTCTATTTCTCACATCCAATGCAAATACAAGTGCTGGTTTTCTTTACAAAGTAGATTCAGATATGACGAATATTTGTACAAAAGAGCAGCCGGTTAACCAAAGAAGAGTGATGGAGTGGGCATTCAAATATGACCGGTCTTTTAAGTAATTAAAATAAGGAAAACAAGTCAAGACTTTAGAGTCATACCTTATTAGAAACCCTGTCATTCCAATAAGGTATGTAATCGTATTGGCCAACCGGACTGGCACAATTCAGAACCTTGTCATTGATCTCAATGATTTAATCATCAGATGAAGCTGTCATTTATCAGCAACCTACACTCGTAGTTTTGACCCCCTCACACAGCCGCTAAGGGTTTTGGCTCAACCTCCTATGTTATTGCACATCAACACCTATTTGTCATAATCATTTAACCATGACCTATAATATATATGTATAAAAGTTCCCGAAGGTATTTAAATATAACCTAATAATAATGTTCCACCTTCTTCTTGGCCTTAGAAAAATGTTTCTGTACATCCTCGGGCTGGTGGCTGTTTGGTTCGTTTATCGCTGGTACAGAGAAACCAAAAGAGTCTCCAACAAGGAGGACAAGTATGTGTACATCACAGGTTGCGACTCCGGGTTTGGTAATCTCCTGGCGAGACACCTGGACAAGCTGGGCTTCCGCGTGATTGCAGGCTGTTACACCGGGAAGGGTGAGGATGAGCTGAAGAAGGTCTCCTCCGACAAACTGACCACCATCCACCTGGACGTCACCGACTCTGAGAGTGTGAGCAAAGTGGCAGCTTTCATCAAGACTCTGGTTGGACAGAAGGGTGAGTGGCTCAGTGTAAAGTCTCCCCTTTTTAACTGATGAACTTAAATGTCAAATATTTTGATTACGTCGCTGTTAAGGCAATTCATCTGTTTTCACAGTCATTTCTTTAATTTTATCACAAAAGTAGTCCATCACAGTAATTTTTAATTGCTTTAGACAGGCGTGAGTAGAATAAATATACTAAGGAAAGAATTATTCAGTATTGTTTTCTTGAATAAAATGTGAACAAGACTGAAACTCAATGTAAAGGCCTTCCTTTTTCACAGTGAGGACTGTGTCAGTCTGTATACTCCTATCTGTTGTCAGTATAGTCAATAACCCAGCTACCCACCCACCCACTCACTCTGTTAATTCCAGCATGAAGGAAAATAAAACAAACCCTGAACAACTGAACTGTAAGAACAATGAAGCGAAGACAACATCTCATTATGTTAGTGTTTTTATTGATCTTTAGGCATGAAAAAAAATATTTTTAAACTTCATTTTTTTTAAAACGTGTACTTTTCAAATAATTTTTTACATGTCAATTTAGGTGGACAACATATGTTTTGACTTGTGATTTGACAAACAAATAAATAATATACACTGTGTGTTGTATTTATGTGCAAGTATACCATCAACGCTGACACAAAGACAAGAAAACAGCCTCTGAATAGCTGTCCACTGTAGTGACCACTATGCGTAAAAGGGTTAATGTATTTAATGACTCAGTGTATAGATTTGTAGTGTGCCTGCAGGAAGAGCCAGCCTGTTTAACTCATTTCCAGTCATTTTAGGGTTTGGGGCTTATTTTAATGGTTGATGGCCGCCCCTCCCTGAGCCTGATTCTGCCGGAGGTTTCTTCCTGTTAAAATGGAGTTTTTCCTTCCCCCGTCACCAAAGTGCTTGCTCATAGGGGGTCATAAGATTGTTGGGTTTTTCTCTGCATGTATTATTGTAGGGTCTACCTTACAATATAAAGTGCCTTGAGGCGACTGTTGTTGTGATTTGGCGCTATATAAATAAAATTGTTTTCATTTCCCAGGTCTGATTTTCAATTGGGTTCAGAGTTTTGAGTTGAATTTTTTAAGTGGCTTTGAGAAGTTAATGTTATGGAGTGGAAAGTGAGACTATTTTGGTAGGGGGAAAAAGTCATGTTAGGCAGAATATGCAGGATGTATCTGCAAATCATTTGACTTGATTGTAGTAGATGCTTAGCTGTTCATATCAGTGATTTTCAAAGTGTGGATTTATGGAGTCTAGATTAGAAACCGGCAGAGCATGTTTATCACTTTAAAGTGGGCCTACATGACATAAAATGAGAAGCAAATACAGTGTTTTTAAGAGTGGTTTGCTATGATTTCACAATCAGTCTGGGTTAATGACCCAGAAAAAATATCTCCCAGCAATAACACGAAGATTTTAAAAAGTTACGACATTTGAGTTTTCCCAAGGGCCACAGTTGGGGGATATTTTTAACATCTACTCTCTCCAACAGCAGTTTGTAAGGAGATAAAGTTACATTGAGTATAAATTAGTTAATCTTACTGTTCCAGCCCTCAACAACAGTCCCAATTCTCATGTGGCCCTGTTTTTATGGTCTACTATATTTCAACGTTAATGATTATAACACGCAGTCCAAAGCAGGGATTTGTGTGTCAGTACTGTGGCTCTCATTGTGCTTCTTGTTGTTGGGTTTGTGTTACTTCAGGCCTCTGGGCCGTCGTGAACAACGCTGGAATCTCAGTGCCGTCCGGTCCCAACGACTGGCTCACCATAGAAGATTTCAAGCCTATGATAGCGGTCAATCTGCTCGGTGTCATCGACGTGACCCTGAGTGTCCTCCCCCTCATCAAGAAGGCCAAAGGCAGGGTGATAAACATCGCTAGTGTGTGTGGTCGAATCAGCCCATTCGGCGGACCTTACTGTGTGTCCAAGTATGGAGTGGAGTCCTTCAATGACAGCCTCCGGTGAGAGCACATCTGACTTTTCAAGCCTGTACATGCGTACCCTGTGAGTCTGCTGACTTGCAGCATCTCATTTTGTGTTTCAGTATCAACATGGCACCATTTGGAGTCAAGGTGTTATGCATTGAGCCCGGGTTCTTTAAAACAAACGTGACTGACACGGCTCTGTTGAAGAATAACTTGATGAAACTCTGGGAAAGATTACCTCAGGAAGTGAAAGATGACTACGGGCATGGTTTCTTGGACACAAGTGAGATGCTTTATTTTATTTAACAGATAAGACTTGCTCGGATGCATTATGTTTTCAAGCTGTTCATCCATTGCACTCATTTCCACCTTCAGCCTGACATTGTATCTACTTTAATCTCTTCATTTCATGTGACTGTGCAGAATCAATATGCAGCAGACAAGATTTCGTGCACCAGAAGCTTTCTGGACTCTTTTCAGCTGCATTAATCTTGCCTATGATCCCGACTGATGATCATTAGTCCTTTAATTGAATTGAATCATTTTTACAGAACTCATGTGTGAAACATTTCTCTTTTTAGTGCTTGAGCAGTTGGACGAGAGGTACAGGCAGATTGTAGACGGGGACCTGATGAAGGTGGTCGGCTGTATGGAGCACGCCATCTCTGCCCTTTATCCACGCACTCGCTACTCCCCCGGATGGGACGCCAAGTTCCTCTGGTTGCCGATGTCGTACATGCCGAGCTGGCTCTCAGACACGTATTTAATTAAAAGTAAACCCAGACCCAAAATATCTGTGCTGTAGTTTCTGTCACGTCAGTCAGTGAAGGATTTTGGGCTAATCTGAAGATTATATGCGCGTGTGTTTATTTTCTTACGATAATTATGACTCTAGGCATTATTACATCTATTTAATTGATTAATAGAGCTGCTCTCAGAAGAGTACATGTCAGGTAACGAAGAAACCGTTGAGCACTGACAATTAACTTTGTGTCAAGTCATGTAATAATCTTGAATGCTGTGTCATCTCACCTTTGTTAGTAAAGCAAAAAATCCTAACATGTATTCGTCCTACATATCGAAGACTGTGTAACCTTGAGTCAGAGATATTGTGCTTTCTCAATTGATTTCAGTTGAAAGGGGAGTGCTGTTATCAAAACCAGGGCTCATGCGCTCTGACTGTATTACACAACCCCAAGCATGTAACCTTTTAGACCCTCCTGTTATATCGGACTTTGACTATGCAGACTTGTTACATAACTTCACCTTCATCACCAGGTTTTGATTTAGAAAGCACCTTTCAGTTAATTTATATTCCCAGGGGTGAAGCAGCAGAAACGCCTAAAGCTGTAACCATGGTATGTTTGTATTATTTTTATGATTATTATTTGTTCTACTATTATACATTTAGTGGTGCTTAAATTTGTGCTGTTTGGCTCTTGTACCCATTGTGATCACCTAGCTCAGCTAACGTCTGGATAAGTTATTGCCTGTTTATCTATTTTACACTAAGTTAATTAACAGACTTGACAGGAGTGGCTCGATTGAAACCTCTTGTTATTTTTGTATGGTTTTTTTTGTTTTGTTTTGTTTTGTTTTTTGTTACATTTTACTTTCAGTAGATAGCCTAATGAGATCTGATGCCATCTGGTGGATGAATGAAAATTGTCATGTTGTTTTTAAAAATCTGTTTACCCATAGTTTAGTTTCTAACATGCAGATAGTTTGACTTTGAGTTTTCAGAGGGTTAATGAAACACAATTGGTGCACAAATCAAATAAAATGTATTGAGAAAATGCCCAAAATCGTACACATTTATTTCCAACTACATACTTCCTATTCCTGCATGTTCGTGTGAGAAACAAAGAGAGGACTGGATTAAGATCTTTTAATAAAATCTCTCACACCACAATGTAAAAAAACATTGGTACCAGCGAATAATTCTTTCGTTTTATTGTTCAAGTATATTGCTGAGTGTCTATGAAAAGTAAGGATCCAGTCTTTTGTAAGTCTTTTATAATCATGAGGTCTAAGCAGCATTTTCCTGTAGTTTGAGCTAACAGATGTCAGATAAATGGGCTGTAGTTTTAGTGCTTATCAGCTCAGTTTGAGTTCTCAAAGCACTCTCTCACTTCAAGATTCATTCACTCACATATATACACTTTTTTAATGCATAACATTCATGCACACACATCAGGGGCAAGTCAGGATTTAGTATCTTGCCCAACGATACTCCAGCATGCGGACCAGGAGAGCTAAGGATCAAACCACCAGCCTCCTGATTAATAGATGAACTGCTGTACCTCCTGAGCCACATCCGCTCCCTCATATATTCCCCTCTCGAATGAGTTCTAGGATAACATAATGTTACCATCTGAAATCTGGTAAAAGCAGAAGTAAAAAGTAACACATGACAGGTCAGTAAACCTGTGATCACAAATATACTGATTAAATCTTCAAAAGTTGATTGATGGCAAAAGATGTACCCTTAGGCCCCCTCCTCGATTCAGAGATGGTCTTTCCCTTTTCACGTAAATGGCCTCCTTGACTCCACGCTCAAACCAGCGTTCCTCCCTGTCCAGGATGTGTACATCCTCATCCTTGAAAGAGTGTCCACTAGCCTGTAGGTGTAACTAGACTGCAGAGTCCTGGCCTGACGAGGTAGCTCTTCTGTGTTGTGCCATCCGCTTCGCCAGAGGTTGTTTGGTTTCCCCGATGTATAAATCCTGGCAATCCTCCTGGCACTTAACAGCGTACACTATGTTACTCTGTTTGTGTCGGGGGGCCCGGTCCTTCGGGTGGACCAATTTTTGGCGCAGTGTGTTTTGGGGTTTAAAAGCCACAGAGACCCGGTGTTTAGAAAAAATGCGTCTCAGCTGCTCCGATACTCCTGACACATATGGGATCACTACAGGTTTTCGCTTGGGCAGCGGTTGTCCTTCTCTCCTGGATCGGCTGGAGCTTTCTTTAGATGCCTTTCCAGCTTTTCAGTCATTATGCAAATGTACTGTTTATAAGATGGGGAAACCTGCAGTCAGCTGAGACTGAAGAAGTCACTTGGATGAGTGACGAAATGTTTCTCCCACAAAACGCTACGTCCAGATGAACAGAATCAATTTTTGGAGATTTACTTACCTGGATGATTGAGAATGCATCAAGACATACTGATTAAATGTATTCAGTTTAACCTTCCAGCTTTCAGACCTGTGAGGGTAGATGCCAATTTTCTGTTTGGGTGAACTGAACTTCATTTGGGGACATATTAATCAGGTGTGGCCACATTTTCTTAGATCTCGGTCTGTTCTACTCAATACTGGGTTAAGGGCTCACTTAGTTGTGAATGGCTTTAAAAGCTATGTAATTCTGCCATAACCAGTTGAGCCACAAGGGGGAGCTGCAGCTAAATAATAGCAGTGGCGCCCTGGTTTGATAATCTGGTTACAGGCTTTAACACTGAGATAAGTTTTAAATCTTTTATTTATTAAGTGTTAAATTGCTTTATTCTTCAATGTCCAGAACTTTCATGTGATGCTCTGCTTTATGAAAAATAAAACGAGGCTAAACAAACATTAAGAGGCCGTGTGTATAATTCAGGTTTTATTACTGCTGCTTAAATGTTTTGAAATGCATCCCAAGTTTCTCCCCCCAGGCATTTACAGACCGTCTAGCAGCTTATTTGGCAGGGGTAAGACGATTTCTCTGTTTTTGTATAAATTAATTACTTTATCCAGTGATTAAAATAAAGTAGAGGATGGCATTATGAATGTGTGAAGTCTTTCATTTTAGTTGTAATTTTTGTGTCTTAGGTAATCCTGTCACACCTGGCCCTAACGTGTGTTTTCCTTCTGGCCACGCTCGCTGCGGTCCGCTGGTACATCAGAGATTCCTACAAGGTTGATGGTTTCAGCCAGAAACATGTGCTCATCACAGGCTGTGACAGCGGCTTTGGGAATCTTCTGGCCAAACAGCTGGACCGAAAAGGTTTCCAAGTCATGGCCGCCTGCCTCACAGAGAAAGGTGCTGCAGACTTGGCAGCGGCTGCCTCCCCCAGACTGAAGGCCTTCCTGCTGGATGTTACGGACAGCGCGAGCATCAGGAAGGCGGTGGAGTCTGTGAGCAGAGAGGTCGGAGAGCGAGGTGAGCCGGGCGGACAGCAGGGGGTGCACACTGATAGGGTGCCAGTCAGAGTGAAGCACTGGGAGAGATAAAGCCAAGCTGGTCCATCCCGTCATCAACCCATCATCCTCCTACTGATACGTGTAACACATCCTGCGGGAGGGAGAAACCTGCTTCTGACATAAATCAAGACTGTCTGACTACCAACTGTGGGACAGCATGTGCTGAAAACAAATGTTATCACTGATGTGCAAAAAGTAATTCCATCATTTGATTTTATCTATGAAAAAGATTTTTACTGGGAAAAAAAACCCCCAAAGGTGGCAAATGTGTAAAACAAATGCCATAGATCAGTTTGTCAGGCCCATGCTCTATGTAAGTGGCTCCTAACCTTTTTATCTTATAGATAATTAGAAAAGAACCCATATGTCTGTTTTCACCTGCTTCTCAGATGTTCAGTGTGTCAATGACAGATTTTCACCACATAGATGTCCAAATTTGATTGGTTTTAGAAGCCCAAGGGCCAAAACACCCTCTTGATTTTGGCCCTTGAAAGAAATTTTACATACATTGGAAAAAAATACTATTTTGTATGCAAAAGATATTCAAAGTCATCTCTGCAATGAGTCTACTCCAGCAAAATAGGAATTATAGACCTGGCTTTATCCAACATTCAGATGCATATTAGCACACATAAAAGGAAGTTTCATGGCATACTTACAAAATGCCTACAGAAAAGGATACAAACCAAAATCTGGCCAACCTGTGTATGTGGAGCATCTCATACTCTTCTCTAGGGTTGAACATAGATAACAGATTGATCAGCTTTCACTGAAACCTTGCACAGCAGGTCAGTGTGTGACATCTGCAGATCCAGAGAAGCATCTGCACGGGCTGTAAGCAGTTTAATCTGTCAAGATTACAAAGCAAAAGATTTAAAAGATGAAGGTCATGAGCTGTTTTCTGGTGGTCGTTATTCTGTATCCTGCAGGTCTGTGGGGTCTGGTGAATAATGCTGGAAGATCGACACCCATCGGCCCAACAGAATGGATGAAGTTAGAGGATTTCACAAAGGTTTTGGATGTGAATCTGATAGGAGTGATTGACGTAACCCTCCAGTTTCTGCCTCTCTTAAAGAAAGCTCGGGGCAGAGTGGTGAATGTAGCCAGTATTCTGGGACGACTGTCTCTCACTGGTGGAGGATACTGCCTGTCCAAATGGGGAGTGGAAGCCTTTTCTGACAGCCTCAGGTATGAACTTGTGGTTAAAAACATACTGCTGAGGTGTTTGTTTTTTTTTAAGTCATAATTTAAAAAATAAATAAAAAAGGATTAACACTTGGGTAGGCAAGATGGTTTTGGTGACATTGGACCAATAAAATCATGTGAGTGTCCTGATGCTTTGGTAACTCCACACTACAGTTAGTTACGCATCTTTTAAGGGGAGATCAGGAGACTACTATAAAGCGATGTTAGCAGTAGTTGAAAGGGCTGAAATCTTCAATTCACTTTTATTCAGTTTTATTTATATAATATCAAATCATCTCAATGCACCTCATAATCCCCCAAAATACAGAGAAAACGCAAACAATAAGAAGCCCCCTATGAGCAAGTACTTGGCGACAGTGGGAAGGAGAAACTCATTTTTAACAGGAAGAAACCTCCAGCAGAACCAGGCTCTAAGAAACACTTCCAAATCTTTTGAATTCATGCCTAAGATCATATACAGAAGCATCCCTAAATAATATTCTGCTGCAGAAAGATACACAATGCATTGTTGGAGACGCAAGTTCTTTTGTGTGAATGCCCGGCGGTCTGTAGGAGTCTGTTTTTTTGGACCTTTTGTTATTGGTTGTTATTTGTGAATGAGTTAATGGATATTTGTTATTTTCAAATAACAAATATTTGATATTTGTTAATGGACCTTTTGTCCAAAAATGGACCCATGGACCTCTGCCTATAAAAAAAAATACATACACATAAAAATACACATAAGAATATAGTAAAGCAGAAATGACATCTACCACAGTCTAATGAAAGTATCAAAGGATTGAAAATACTCGCATATTAACTATGCCGCAGCATAGTACTGATGGAGAAGTGCTCAGTAAAATTCTTTCACTTGCTTTAAAGAGACACGTTGTCTGCTTTGTCTGACCAGGAGGGACATGCAGCCCTTTGGTATTAATGTGAGCATCATCGAGCCCGGTTTCTTCAAGACTAACGTGACCCGCATTGATCTTATTGACGCTGACCTGAGGAGGCTGTGGTCCCGCCTCCCTCAAGATGTGAAAGATTCATATGGAGCTACATACTTTGATGAGTGTGAGTAAAAGCGCACTTTGTTTAAATCAGCTACAGATCAGCTAAGCAGATGCTCTGTAAGATCACTTTTATCTGATTATTGATCTCTCAGATGTGAAAGTTCAGACCTTCTCCATGGGACTCTTGTGCAGTCCGGATATCTCTAAGGTGACGAGGTGCATGGAGCACGCGCTGACCGCTCGCTTCCCACGCACACGTTACGCAGCAGGCTGGGACGCAAAGCTTTTCTGGATCCCTTTGTCCTACCTCCCTTCATTCGTTGCAGACTTTATAGTCAATGTGATTCTCCCTTCTCCTAAACAAAAGATGTAAATAGCAGACAGCCTTAACCATCGCTGTAAAAGTTTGTATGACTGTGTCATTACTTCTCTCCTGTGTATATGTTGACCATGTTCACCCTAAGCTAAAGCTGATTGAGATTTTCCCACACACCATCTCTAGGGGTTAGAGAAGATAATTTAAAAAAGAGAAAACAGTAGCTCAAATAACCACTTGTTAAAACCAAGATATACAGAAGAGCATCTCTGAACACACAACACATCAAACACTGAAGGAGATGAGCTGGAGCAGCAGATGACCCCACCGGGTCCCGTTTCCATCGGCTAAGAAGAGGAAGCAAAATTAAACAATACAAGACTGGCCTGTTGAGTCTTGATTTCTGCTGTGACATTCAGTTAATCGGATCAGAATACGACATAATTAATATGAAATCGTGGATCCGTCCTGTCTTGTATCAGTGTTTCACGGAGGAGGAGGTGGTGTAATGGTGTGGATCTAAAGGACCTAAAGTGTGCCAAGAAAATATATTTGCACACATATTTAAACTCATATATTTGAAATTGTTTAAACACCACAACCTATGGTGGCGACTTCCAGCAGGATAACACTCATTTAGGATGTGGTGAAAGGGGAGATTCACACCATTAATGTGCAACTGACAAATCTGCAGCAACTGTGTGATGCTATCATGTCAATAAGAACCAAAATCTCTGTGGAACTTTTCCAGCATCTTGCTGAATCTGTGCTGTGAAGAATTAAGGCAGCTCTCAAGGCAGAAAGGGGTAAACATGGATGAACATGACCCTAAATCTTTGTCTTCCTCTATGCATTTGTGTGGTGTCCAAGGCGTAGCCCCTAGACCTCCCTAAGATCTAGAAAATAGATGGACCGTAACAATAAAGTGAAGAAAAAGAGACCACGTTACAAAATAAGAAATTTATTCATGCACATCTCAGCAGCAGAAATTGAATCCATTTGGACATTTCCTCACAGATAACATTTTTTTATTTGTCCTCATTATGATACAACATAGATCAATCTGTAAAGAACTTATTAGAAAATGTCTACATCTGTATTCTTGGGTTGTATATTGCTCTTTAAGATGATCAACTACATATCCACGCAATAGACTTGGGCACATTCAAGTACTGTTCCAAACTAATTTGGCCATTATTCATTTCAGTAATATCACTAAAAAACAATCGTGTCAATTCAAAAGTCGCAAAGGTGATGTAAGGTAAAAATGAGTTTGATTAAGAAGGATAAAAGTATGCTTTGCACACGTATTTAAGCCTATGCATCTGTTTATATTGGAGCACATACTGAAGAGATATAAAATCGAATCTGTCTTGCTTCAATTAAGCTGTGAAATGAGGTATATATTCAGTGGTGAAACAGATATTATTACCCATTGCATTTCTCCAATTTCCTTTGATCATTTTGTACATTCACAATGCAGCTCGCCTTTTATATGTGTTATTTTCTTCACGCCGAACTATTTAGGATCTATTCCAGAATATTTCTGAAAAAAAATCTTACTGTCCAAATTTACAAATATACAACATATTTATTAACATTTCTATCAGCAGCTTCAGTGCAAAGATATACATATCGTACATCAGGATAAAGAAACAAAAAACATTAACACAAAATTGGCATAAGAAATGTCAGAAGGCATAGTCACGGAAGACGTTTTTCTTTGTTCTATAGAAATGTACTTCTCTCCTAAAACGATTTGAGTTTTGTACACAGGCTGCATAAAAAAATAAATTCTGTGCAAAGTGTGTTTCATTTTTCGATTCCCGTCCGCGAGAGAGGGGTTATACGTCACTGTCCTCTTTAACGAGGTTGGCCGTGTCTTTGAAGCTGTCCTCGGTAGGCGAGAAGGTGTTGGGGCGATCCCTCTTCTGAGGTTTGGCAGGGGGGGCAAATGGAGATGGCTCAGGGGCAGACGAGTCCCCGCTGCTTCCTACGGGCTTTTCATCCCTCATCTGTAAAACAGCACAGATGGTAAAAAAGAGAAGCCCCTCCCCAACCCAGCTTTCTGTTTAATTTCTGATATCTTAGAAAATGGCCGGACATACCTCTGAATATGAAGGGTTTTCAAATGTGGTGCTTGGCTTTAATTTTCGTTTGAATAAGCTCCACTTTGACTCCTGCAAACAAAACACAGTCACTGAAGTGGCTCCATGCACGAGTGCTTTAAAAGTATTTAAAGTCGATTTCTTTTGACTTTGTGCACGTATGATATTCACATGGACAGGTTGGGTGCTGACGGTAGATGTGTTCACCACGCCTACGCTCGGGTCTCCACGGTAAGTCGGGTTTACAAAGTTGTTCTCCCGCTGATCACCGCTCACATTCACAGTCACCTGTTTGAAAGCAAAAATGTAGCAGTTTATGATTATAAATCAGATTAATTAAAGGTTCATAAAACACAATCTAAAAAAATACACAGCGATGTCTTTGTGGTTTGTTTTTTCCTCCTTTGTGTAACATAATTGAGGCACCAGATTAGTGTTATTTTGGCAGCACAGGATCTCCAGTAGTTCCTCTTTATATTGTTCATTTATATTTCATAATAAATGTATACACTTTGTATAATAGTCATAAGGAGATACTAACCCAGCCTCAGAGGGTCAAGGCTTAATGTGGTGGGATGTAAGTATATTATCTGCTTCTATTTTATTGTTAATTTGTGAACCTCTTTCTTTTTTATTTATTATTTTATTTGGTTGTTAGTCAAAATGATTTTAGAGCCAACTTCAATGCCTATTCGTTTTCTTTAATTAATTTTTACAAGCTGTGTAGGTTTGAAAGTCCCTGCTCTAACCTGTAAAGTGCAAAAGATATTCATTTGTGAGTACCTGCGTGGCATGAATAACAGCAGGGTCCCCAGACACATGACCAGTGGCATACAGCGGGTTCTCAAATGTAATCGGCTGCCTCCCAGGCTCCATGGCAAAATGATCATCCTATGGGGATATTATAATGGTGAGATTGTTGATATAGTCATTACTGAACTTTTAAATATTTGTTAAGCTCTCAAACAAGCACTTCTTGAAGTGGTACGCGAACATGTTCAAAAACGCTGATTGTATACTTTTAGTGATCCTGGAAATGATTAGCTGCTTGTATGCATTTATCCAAGACTCACCATCTGCATGCCTGTGTCAATGAATGACACTCCAATGTGTGAGGGTCCGAGATCCACATTGTCACCCGACCGAAACGTCACCCCATTCCCAGTGTCAGCGGATTTCACCAAGCTGCTGAGGCTGAACAAAAACAAAACACAAACACCTGAACTTTGGTCTGAAATCTATACCGTGAGCTCCATCACAGTTTTAACTGAAAAAAACTGAACTGAAAAGAAGTGGTAGAAACCTGGGTAGTTTGGGCATGGAAGGGATGAAAGAGCCTGTTCGTTTGTAGTTGAGGAAAACTCCAACAGCCAAACCTCCAGTAATCAGGATGATAATGACTGCCAATAAAACAGCCACAGCTAAAGGAAAAAGGGGGGTAAATATGCAGATTCATGATACAGGACATTCGCAGTGAGATGCAGATCATTAACGCGACTAATAACATTTTGCTGACAAGCCCATTAGTGTTTGTGACTTTTAGCAGACCTGTTAGTTTATGTTAAACATTGGTCAAACTGATGTGTTAATTAGCTAGCTATTAAAAACTCTGCGATTTCATCCACTCAACAAATTCTGCAAATGCTGAGCCAGAATGTTCCCACCTTAAAATTTTAGGCAAATATGCGGTAAATAAATGTGACTTCTTCCTGATGTAGGATATAGGATACAGGACTGATGCTGATATTTGGTGATTTAAAAAGCAGCTAATATTTATGTGTAGTTGTTTATGAGCCCTTACTAAGATAATATGACAATGCAGTTTATAAATAAACTTCTTTACATCTCTCAACAAGTTGCAGATTACTCTTTGCGATCTGCTCAGATCAGCTGGTTGTTGCTCATCGCTTTCCAAACAGTGAGTTAGCGACAAAAGTCGCAGAGTGCCCTCTGGTGGACAAACTATACCACGTCAACACTCGTAACGTAGTTAAATCAGAATCAGAATACTTTATTAATCCCTAAAGAAATTGAAAGGTCCCATCTCTTCTTTAAATATTTCTTCTTTCTAATGCCAATAACAATATAGTGGCAAATAGCTGCTACTGGCTAACATTAACACTGGGTCTAGTTTCAATACTAAGACATTAAAAAATGTTAGTAAGCTTATAAGTAAATGACCATACCTGTTCCTGCTGGGGCACCCCTCGACTTTCCCATCTCACAGTAGCTGCCCACATAGCCATAAGGACATCTGCACAAATACATGATCAAATGCGATAGCAATCTTTTTTGAGGAAAACCTCACTGGTAAAACAACCTGAAGTGTGCTGGAAAATTCCAAAGATATGAGGTATCACTGACGGCGATGGGTAAAAATGGCCGCGGCACATGAACTCACTTGCACTTGGGCAGGCCCCCTTCATCAGTGTAGCAGGTTCCACCATTCATGCATCTACATGCAAGCGGCATTGCAACAGGAGCCTCAATGGCTGCAGGAGCAAAAGCCAGGCGTACCAGAGAGTCAACAACAATGAAACAATATCACAGCACAGTCTCTCAAAACCACACAGGAACAGCCAAGCACGAGTGAAGGATGGATGTATTGATGCGAAACCCCAGCTTACGTGAGGGTGCAGACAGTACATGCACTGCGGTTGTTGTTATTTACCTGCGTCACATTCGTTGGAGTCAAACTCCACCGGAGAGGAGCCTTGCGGGCAGGCACAGGTGTATCCACCAGGTCGAAGAAGACACAGGTGACTGCACACATTCTTACAAGGGTTGGACACTGAAGATATCAGAGAGCGAAAGCAACACAGTGAGCAAAATAAAAGTATTTTGGGAAATATCTTAAGCTGGCAACACATTTCAAGACATATTACCACTTCACTAGTCCTCATCTACAAGAGAAAACACTTAAAACTAAACCCTTTACAATTACATTGGTCCCTCTGTCTGTGCTTAACTACATAAAAATAAGTTTAATGTATTGTGCTTCCTGCCTGAAAATTAACAAATTGCAAAGATTTGGTCTCACTCTGTGACTTCAAATGATTTCTAAAGAAACTCAATTTATCTGGATTTCAGTTTTATACTCGCAAGTATGCCTATTGTCAGTGAGGGTTTAGCTTTTTCAAGCTTTATATTAGTATTCTTGGACTGTTTGCCTTTATTTATTTGATAGAACAGCATAGATTAGACAGAAAAGTGGGGCGCGATCATGTGGGGGATAACACGCGCTGCAATACTACCACACCCGAAAGCCATTGCCTGCTGTTTCTTGGTTGTTATAGGAGGGTCGCCAGCTAATGCGGGTCACCTGTGTCTTGCAGGCTATAAAAGCTGGCCCAGATAAACTTATTGGTGATCGTTATGTCTTGGTTTGATTATGTTTAATAAATGATTTTATATTTAAGTCAACTTCTTGTGCAGACTCCTTCCTGGCCACCTACTCTGATCCAGTTTGTGACAAATGGGAGCTCATTCAGGATCTTTAGGTCCATTAATAAGCTTAAAATTGAATCTGTATTGTGGCTAACTTAACTTGTGACTTGCTAAATGCTCAGCTGAGTTGAACTTCTTTTCGAGTACAGCCTGAAGTTGTTCTGGTATTTAACATTGTGACTAATATCTTAGGGATAGCCACGTAAGATAATAGTTTGGATTGGTTACATTAGTTTATTTATTCTGTGGTTAATGTAGGAAGAGAGCAGTAAAAGGTTCTATCTCAAATTTAAATCCAGGCCACTGACGCATTAGAGCATGTGCTAACATACTTAGCCAGGTGAGCCAAGCTAGCACCCAGCCCTACGTGCTTCTTGTGTAGCTTTGCATGATTCACAGTCAGAGTTGTGAGTTTAAGATTTGGGATATCCCCCCTGATGTCCTTTAGATCATTTCTGCCACTCATAAAAATGTTTTTGTTCATAAGCAAAACATTTCTAGATGTAGAAAAGAAATTACAACATTTAGAGTCTCTTGGAGTTTTTTTCATACTGTTTGAAATAGGTTTGAAATTCTGTTCAAAGAATGAATTAAAGAGAGCTTAAACTATCAATGTTGAATCCAATAGTGTCTGAATGCCAACACTTCACTTAGACTAGTAAGTGAATGAAAGTAACCATGACTTTAATGGCATCAATAGTAAGTTGCATGTAATTACACTAACATTCTTAATATCCAACAGAAGAGTAAAACCTTTACAATTGTTACATAATTGACATGATATATATTAGATAAATGAGTTCTGACCTGACTGATTGTGTCGGTGCTCCTGGTAAATTCGGATTTGTGTCAGCCAAGGGTTTATGGTTAGAACTTTGACTTTGTTTCTTCTCCCGAACTTGTTTATCCTCCACACTTCACCTTTGTCTTTTGTTGTCCAGTACACATGTCCCTCAAAGACATCCAGACTGTAGGGATGTCCAATGTCTGGGAAAAGTAAGAAAGAACCCAAACTATAACTTATGCTGAATCTGTCAGGGTTTTATCTGTTTAAATGGTTTCTGCAGATATCAGTGCACTGACCTCCTGATATGACGATTCTCCTGTCTGTGCCATCAGGCTTCATGGATTCAATTATGTTTTCTTTGGAGTCACACCAATAGATTCTGTTTCCATTCAGATAGTCCACAGTCAAACCAGTAGGCCAGCCCAGGTCCTCCTCCTGTACCAACACCTGTCTGTGCTGACCGTCCATCCATGCGGACTCTATCCTGGGGTTCCTGCCCCAGTCTGTCCAGTACATCATCCTGTCCAGAAGCAGTCACAGAAATAACCCATTATTTCCCCAAACACTTTAAGCTTAAATCTTTATGAACAAATGTTGTACACATCCTCATACCCGAGTGATGGGTTCACAACAATGGCAGCTGGCTGGTTGAGATCTGTGTGGATTAACCACTTCCTGTACCGCCCATCAAGTTTAGCCACTTCAATTCGATTGGTCCCAGCATCCGTCCAGTAAATGTGCCTGTGAACAGTGATTTAAAATACTGAGTAGAGATCATCATCTACAGCATAAAAGTAAAGCCTCATTCCTGATTAATTACCTGCCAACCCAGTCCACAGCAATACCATCAGGATTGGCAATGTAGCGCAGATTCAGGTCCACTTCTTTCACCGGGTTGTTGCCGTAATCATTGAATGTGGTCATATAGGCACGTTTGATAGAGCCAAACTGAGATCCCCGACCCAGAACTGTCCAGTACACAATACCTGCACAACAGAGGAAAACCTATTTTACTCATATATTCTGCATGCCACAATATTTTAAAGCTATACCGTAGCAGTCTTACTCAGGCCTTGACCATCTGGATCCCACAGGTAGTCTAAGGCTTGGATGTGCTCGGTGTTGTCTACATAGTCTGAATACTGCTCAGAGGACAGGTTATACCGACGAATACGAACGTTGTCTGGCAAAAGCATCACTGGCGGGTTTCCTATACAGACAGTGAGGTGTTGTAAATGAGGTTGGGAATCATAAGAATTAAACTAAAAGGTTTATAAAGAGCATTATCCTTTACCTTGAGCAGCACACTCAGTCCCATGGGGCTCGCCATAAGAAAGAAAGCCGTCAGCACAGAAACACTCATAGCTGCCCTTTGTGTTTTTGCAGTCCTGTGGACACGTCCCATACACCTCACACTCATTCACATCTGAAGAACAACAAAAGACAACACAAACTGAATGCTATAAAACACATCTGTGGGAGTGTAACTAGTTTTAATACACCACTGACTAACGTGTGTGTTGTTTACCTTCACAGTTGTGTCGTTCTGTTGATTTGGGCTTATATCCAGGTCTGCAGGAGCAGAGGAACCCTCCTCCTGTCAGGTCTGTACAGTTGTGTTCACAGATGTTGGCACTACATGAGTGCCCACTGGTTTGGTCTGAGAAAAGTGGATTTAATGAAAACATGCTCTGAATGTAAAGCTGGACACTCACAAATGTTAACTGAGTGTTAACCATTATATCATGCAGTCACTTTTTCTTACCAAGTCAAGAAAAGTGAAGTTAAAATATGTATTCTGTCACAGTCCCAGAGTTTGGGGTTTGATTTCTACATTTACTTTTTCTAGTAGTACGTTGTCATTTTTGGGATTCAGCATTTGGATTCATGTTCCCACTGTTGTAGTGTGATGAGCTTCAGTTTTATAGTCTAAGTTCTACTTCTTGTCTGGTTTTATGGAGCTGTGGATGGCTGATCCTTGATTTACTTATTTTTGTGACTTGCGTTACTTCTCATCTCCGCTTCCCTTTTCGGCCCATTCTGTTTAAATAGTCCTGCCTCCCTCTTTGTCCTTATGACATAATTTTTCTACCTCCTCTACTTTTTCCATTTTATGTTCAGTCATGTTTCTTTCAGCTATGTTTACTTCTATGTTCTGGAGTGTTTAGTGGAGGTTTCAGACTTTGTACTTTCCCAAGTAAAGCGTTACGTTCAGGTCAGCCTGTAGTGTCCTGCATCTGGATCAGTCTGTTTGCCTACACTGTTCAACAGCCCCCAAACTACAATGAGAAATCAGACAGCTCCTGCTACATATATATTCATATGTTGAATCTGTTTACATGTACGGTACTGGATTAAGTCAGTTTAGATTAGCAATTTAAGTTTTTTTTTGTACTTATTTATCCACTCAGACTCTGTTACTAATTTGCTCTTTGCTGATATTACTTACGACAGCCAAGTTCATCGGATTGATCTCCACAGTCGTCATAATCATCACAGGCGTACTGAAGAGGGATACACTGTCCGTTACTGCATTTGTACTCATCATCTGTACAAGGTCCATGCGTTGGCTTTTGACCTAAAAGAGGAGAAACATGGTGATTCTCAACAGAAGCTGTAAAGATATTCAGCTCTGTTCAAGTATAGTAGTAAAGAGTAAAAAATGTGTACTTACAGTTTTCCTGCCTCTCATCAGAGCCGTCACCGCAGTCATCGACTGAGTTACAGAGCTCGTGGCTGTAGATGCAGCGGTTATTGTCACAGTGAAAACGAAACGGAGCCTCACATTGGATGTCCACTGTGGACGAACAGAGTAAACCTACTTTAGCAGATTCAACCATTCAAATGAGCAGCACGCTGTACAAAAAGTGTGGGAATCATGAGTTAGCGTGCTGTTAGATTTGGCTTTGTGTGCGGTGGACTTGAGGGACTGTGGGTGTTTTAATAACTTCTTACAGCAGAGATGAAGCTCCTCGTCTGAGTTGTCTCCGCAGTCATTGTCTCCATCACATTTCCAGTGAGGCGGGACACAAATGTGGTTCTTGCATTCAAACATGAATTGGGGGCAGTATGTGCCATTGGGATAGCGGGTTGCTGAAAGTCAGAAGCAGTCTATTAAACTAAATCTGTGACTTTCACACAAGAAAATCAATAACCAAACTCACAATCATCTCTCCTAATGACGCCTCAACAATCAGGAAGCAAATATAAAGAATCCAGTTATGTTATCAAAGAGTGGACACAGAAAACCAAATGATGAGAGACACTCACGGCATGACGTCTCATCCGTGTAGTCCAGACAATCAGCATTCCCATCGCATTTGAAACGTTCAGCGATACAGTGTCCACTGCCGCACTGGAAGTAGCCAGGATGACAGGTCCGCAACTCTGCAAATAGGGAATAGCATCGTCAGGTGACAACAGCTAAACTGCATATAGCAGGTTCATCATCTACACAGTTTCTAGACTGATCAACCTCATAGTTAACCTATAGGTTACATCTACAAACAGCCTTAAATGATTAGTCAAATTATAAAGCTCAGCCTTAATGATGCAGTTACAATGCATAACCTAAATGTGTGGATGAGGCAAAAACAGCGGCATTAGGTCCTGAATTTAAAACACTTAATACTTATTAGTTAATGTGTATTTGAGACATTTTACGAGTTTTTAAGGAACCCCTGACAACCTTTTATTTCACACATATATTCATCAAGAATAAGTTTCTAAAGCAACGACCTGTCTGTCCAACGCTCACTGTAGAAACTCTCATTTGTAGCAGACTGAATAAACTCTTTTTGAAAAACGGACTGTTGGTGGTCCCGTCTGTCTGTGCTTCAAAACTGAAGGTTTTATTGCTTCTTTGTTTAGTGCGGCCCTCTGTTACTCACAAACAGGCCGACCCTGAGCCAAAACAAAGAGCCTCCACTTACCACAGTCCCTTTCATCCGAGTTGTCCTCGCAGTCGTTGTCATGGTCACAGACCCAACGGTCGGGAATGCAGCGCAGATTATCGCAGCGATACTCGCTCTCCGTGCATGCGCGTGGTGCTGGGAGAAAACATGGAAACACAAATTAAACAAGGTGGAATCCAAGAAATGCACAAATATGACTTCTGTTTTTGTTAAATCTGAGAGAAAATGATGAAAACTACATCAGAGGCTCTTATGTATGTCGCAAACTTTTCAACATAAAATGTTTAATGTATGATTTTCTTCCATATCCAAATATTAAATACTGGATCTTATGTTAACTACAGAAGTACACGCACACATTACTCTGCACTGAGCTCATGAGTTCAAGAAGACAAACTCTCTTGGCGTGGGCAACCGGCGCAGCAACACTGTGCTGCTCTGATTAAACACCATTGCTTCCCCTTTGAGTAGCAACATTATCCCTGTTACCTGGCATATTCTCAGACATGTTTAAATTCTTCAGGGCAAAAGGTGACAGACTCCTTCACTCCCTCTTTCTCAAACACTGAGGACAGCCTGTTTCTCCAGCAGTTGATAAGACTTCCTCTCTCACCGCTGTCGGCAGAAGTCTCGAGCCTCTTACGAAAACCTCCCCAAATGTCTGAATAAATGATAGCAAGGCTATTCTTTGGGATCAACATCCTGCTTTTATTTACGCTACACTAAAACCCCACAATAAAAATAGTTAAAGAGACAGCTGTCGGAACAGCCGACACCAAAACACAACCAAACCGCTTTCACACATGAAGTCTGGACAGTTTGGCGGGAAATGTCACACACATTTCAGGAGATCCATTTTCTCACTGTTTACTTGGACTGTGCCATGTCAAAACATCTACGATGGTACTGATGTACATTTTTCTGTGATATAAAAGTGACAGCATAACTTCACTTTCACCGACACAAGCTAAGAAATGTCTGACAGCGAGAGCCACGCGCCAGCATCCAATGACCTAAAAGGGGAGCTAGTTCAGCAACCTCCAGCTTATCACTATACTTTGGGAAATATGTTAGAAAATTGTTCCTGCTAAAAGTGGAAACAATAAACTTGTTTTACTACCTGAGGAAAAATACCTCGTTATTACTATTGCACTATAACGCTGCTGCCGTTTGCACCTCGTTTTAATAGATTTACACTTCAAATTAGGTGGAGTGGCATCATTCAGAGCAGCTTATGGAAAAGGATGGAACTGTGTTTTGCTTTTATTTGTCAGGGATTGTGCACATTACTGATCTAAAAAAAGAAAACATGCCTTGTACCTGATTTAGCTATTAGCTTGGCCCAGAGCAGATGCACACAACAACAACAAAAAAAATCTTTACTTTATTTTTAAACATTTTTTATACATGAAATCTCTTTGTTTATTTCTTTTGGCTCCTGAAGCTTCTTATTGATATCAGCTATAAGTGCATCATTGCATTTCCAAGCAACAACCTAATAACTGACTAAATTATGTAGCAGTTATCAGAAGTATCATATCACTTCAATTTAATGACAACAATAATTCATTTCAGTTATTGTTTTATATCCACAGAAGTTGAATTATTCATGATTATAAGCCACAGCCCTCTTTGCTTGTATATGTGCATCCCAATAACCAGACTATCCCATCAAAATATAAGTACAGTATAAAAACCCAGATTAAAGGTTATTAGAAAGTGCTGGATTTAAATAATACTGACTTTTTTTCTACATGATGAAAAGAAAATCTACATATCTTTTCCTGTACCATTGTCAACATCCTTTGTCCAGTATATCCACTGTCTGTCCCCAGCACATCTCTAAACCGTCTCTCTTTGTCTACAAACCACTCAAACTGAATGCGATCTGATATTTTTAGAAATAGTTCAAAGTTTTTATCTGTGAGGGCCAAGGCGACTCACTGCAGCTGCGCTCGTCTGAACTGTCCCCACAGTCGTCGTCCCCATCACACCTCCATCTCACTGGGATACAGCGGTGGTTGTCACAGCGAAAGTCTCCGTTAGGATCACAGCTCAGTTCATCTGAAGAGAAGACCAGGCCGCTTTAAAGCAATAATGGCTGTTATACACCAATATATATTTTGTTAAACTCAAAACAATTGGCCTAACTTTTTCAAACCTCCAGCAGAGGTACAAAAGACTTGTAGAAGCAAGCAGAAGAAAACATCTACTACTGTATTTTTTTATATAGAGATAGTAGAATTTTTTTAAACCAAATACACTAAAGTATTATCGTATTTAAAATATTTATACAGACAGGATATTTCAAAAAAATCTACTAAATACATTGCAGTGTGACAAATTTGTCCTAAAATGCCAATTAAAAATTTAAAAACACAAATATAAATTTGCTGTCAGTATACAGCATACATTACATTAGACACGCGTATTTAAACTAATTGCAAATAAGAAACAGTAAACTGAGTGCATTCTTTGTTTAGCATTATTTGTTATAAACGTTCTCTGGCACTAGCCTGTCACTATGTCGGCACCAGTCTATGATGTATTAACCATTAAAGTATTCTCACTGTTGAGAAAATCTTATGTGCAGCAGTAAGAGATGAGAAAATATGAGGCTTTATCAGCAGGCACACTGAATTTCTAGACATTTAGGTAATGATAAAATGTCAGTTTGAAATAAAAGAGATCTTTCTTTTTAATTAAACTGCAAAGTGGTAGAAGGAGGGGAGCAGCCTGCCAAAGACAGATGGGTGACCTCTATCCATGCCAGTGTATGTCTGTGGAGGATAAGGCTGCAGGAGATGAGAAGCACAGAAGGGAGAGGAGTGCAGCAGAGCTGGTCTGAGCCATCGCTACCACACAGTGCTGGGGGTCAAAGATAGCGCGGTGTTAGCTAGTCCTGCCCTCTTAGCCCCTCCACCTGGCCCATCTGGTACATTCTTACAGGAAGATTAGCACAGATCTCCACTCCTGCGCAGGCATGGCACTAATGGAGTGAGGGCCTCTGATAAGAGACGGGAGGGCTGCGGCGAGTGTGTTTGGATCGTAGCAAGTACAAAGAGCTTTGTGTGAACCCTGCCCCCACGCAAGGACAGAGCACCAACACACACATATAAGCACGTACAAGCGGACTCATACCAGTGGACAGCTCATAAATTTGCCTGGGAGAGGTAAAAGGTGGGGGAGGGTAAGTGGTGAGATGCTCTCCATCAGCATCAGCACCTCCCACTATCACACCGTGTAATGTTCCACAGGAGGCTGAGGCGTTGGCTAATTGCCCTTCACTCACTCCTTCAGCTAATTTCTTGTTTTGCACCTATTTTGAAATCCCTAAAAAATCTTACCTTGGATGAAAAAAACTGAATGTAAAAAAAGAAACATCAGGCAGTAACGCTTTAAACAAAAGACATGATTGCGGCAGCAATCTGAACATTTTCAGATTGCTGCCGCTACAAAACTGGACTAAAACTCACCACAGCCCTGTTCATCACTGTTGTCTCTGCAGTCATTGTGGCCGTTGCAAACAGACCAAAGCGGCACGCAGCGGTAGTTCGTCCTGCAGGCAAACTCTGTATGGTTGTCACATCGATATCCTGGTCCCACTTTGGAGAAAACAGTTCAATAATTAATATATATTTTTAAATACTAATATCTATGGATACTTAACTTATTTTAAAGGGTAACATTTCTATAAAATTATTACAGATTTAAGTTCTTTAATGTTTAGTTGATATGCTGTAATTTACTTACTGCATTCTTCCAGCGGTTCGTCAGAATTGTCACCACAATCATCATCTACATCACATTTCCAGCTCTGTGGGATGCAGCGTCCGTTGCGGCACTTAAACTGTCCAGGGCGACAGGTCCTGGAGGAGCAGTGTGCAGGGTCCTCATCGGACTGATCGCCACAGTCGTCCTCACCATCGCACTGCCACGACTCAGGAATGCAGCGCTTGTTTGCACACTGCCACTGGTGTGACTCACACATGTGTGTAGCTACAAAGTATACAAATGTGTACTTTTAAAATCATTAGGACATGGGAAGCAGGTAGGAAGACATAAAAGCCTCAAAAAATGAATAAAAAACCTACCACAGAGCACAGCGTCTTCATCTGATCCGTCGTGACAGTCCTGGTTGGCGTTACACAAAAAGTGCGGACTGGTGCAGTTTCCATCGTTGCACTGAAACTGACCAAGCCTGCAGTGCCGAGACGGACAGGTGGAGGGCTCGTCTGAGCCGTCCCTGCAGTCCGCCTGACCATCGCATTTCCACCAAATAGGAATGCACCTGTTGAAGCAGAAGTGAGCATTATGTAAAGCTTTAAACTGCTTACTTAACCCATGTGTTGAATAACGAAGTCCAGTCCTTTACCCATTTAAATGTATTGAATTTTCTACATATAGACTCTGATTTTGAGGAAGGCTGAAAAAATACATCTCCAAACTTTCACATTTTCAAATACAAGGGCAGCTATATAAATACACAAAACCTCGGCAAAAGTATTTGAGACCTGTGAGAATGTATTTTACACAAACACTAGGTGGCACTATTCTTCAAAGGCAGTCTTAAAAAAGTGAACGTATTCAAGTTTTTGAACTGGTGGATGAGAAACTGGAAAGATGAAGAATTAAAAAAAAAAAAAAACCCAAAAAGAATAAAAATGCATAAAGTCATATGAAGGCTGTAAGCAGCAGGGACATTTTTGGGATAAAAACATGGTTATAAATAATCTTGTCCTCCCTATTTCCATTAATGTATCACAGTCAATTCAAAAATTATATTTAAAAAATGTAGCAAATAATAAAAAAAGACCAGAAAACATGCCAAAGATTAAAGAAGCTTTAACAAACCGTTCATTGTTAGCACATCTGTATTGGGTGCTGGTGCACATGGGAAGGCATCGGGTCACACCTCCTATTTGAATTGTCAGGAAATGGTCTGGGCACTCACAGGTGTGTTCTCGCCCCCCGTGACGGATCAAGCACAGGTGTGAACAGCCTCCATTGTTCACCGCACAGGGGTTGTTTACTGTTAGAGGAAGAGCAACACTCATTAAAACACTTTGGTCTCTAGAAAAACAGAGACCAGGTACGGTTTAGTCCTTGGTGAATACCTGTAACAGGATTCACTCACCAATAGGCTGCCTGTAAGGATGGTACACGTGGATGTCAAATGGTCTGTGTGTGGTGTTAACAAGTACTTGACGGCCGGAGCCGTCGTATTTGTTGCCTTTCTCCACCGTGCGCGTGTTCCAGTCAGTCCAATATACAGTGTCCTCAAACACAGTCAGGGCAAACGGGTGAGGTAAGTCTCCGTCGTACACCGTGTGTCTGTGCTGACCATCCAAGTCAGAGTGTCTGACAGAAGAAATACATTCACAGAGTTACTGGCTTCCTCTTACGGCAGGGTAAAAGAATCTGCCTGTTTTCAGGTGCACTTACTCAATGTAGTTGAGGTGAGCATCGGACCAGTAGAGCCTGTCGTTTGTGTAGTCGATTGTAATACCGTTGGGCCACTCAATCTTTGTGGTGATGATGGCCGATTTGTTGGTTCCATCCATTCCAACACGACCTATAAAGGCTTTGTTTCCCCAGTCTGTCCAGTACACAAATCTATCAGGGGGATAAGACATATACCTTATTTAACCTCTTGAGGCCCTACATACCTTCTTCTTGAACTTCTTGTTCAAAACAGAAGCTGAATTTATAGACTTATAAAGTGCAACTAATCACAAATAGCTAGCTGAAATTAAAAATACAACCCAAGCAAAAGCTCAGGTTGCAGGAAGTCAAGGAAATACCCGCTTAGCATTGAGAGTAAGTGTTTTAACCGCAACTGATGGTTATTTAAGTGCTGTGCTGCATGTTTTGGCAGCAGGATAACAATGAAACAATAAATGATAATTAAAAGCAACAGTAATATTAAGATACAAATAAAATATTTCAAAAATTCAACAGTTTGGGGATTACTTAATGTTTTCCAGGTACCACAATAACAGTTATTTGCTTACTGAATGCTTCTAATCAGATCACTAATACCTACACTGTGAAAACTTTGGACATAAGTAATCTGGTCCTTGTTACTGTAACCACGGTGACATCAAAACTAAAGGTAGAGTCTTCAGATAGTATAAATAAAATCAATAAATTCTGATAAATTCCCTCTGGCTTTACACAAAAACAAAAGGTTGTCCACATTTGTGAACAAAGGTGCAAGGAACAAAGTCTTTATAATTTTAAGTGGGCTTGAAAAAAGAAGATCTTCAGTTTTGCTTATAATTTATTTTTTAAAATCTGTAAAAACACACCAGAACTTTGTCTGCTTCTATACTAAGCATAGTGAAAAGAGCCTTAATGGAGACATATGAGGGAAAGTAAGAGGGAAAAAATTTAATAAATTTCTTTAATTTGTTAAGTTTACTGATATTTCAGAAAATCTGCCAACATGGGTTTGGGCCTGAATCAGAATGACCCTTTAGAGTGTGACACGTCAATAAGCATAAATCTGTACCAGATGGTTATTTCTGACCATCTGATAAGCAAACATATTTATTATATTTGGATTCCTCACCCATATTTGGGATGCAACACAACGCCTCTGGGGTTTTCAAAGCAGTAGGTGTTATTGGCATCCACGCAGTGTTCGGCTAGTTTCTTGACAAAGCGGCCATCCAGTTCAGACACTTTGAGACAATCCAGGAAGCTGTCCACCCAGTATAGTTTCCTGGCTACCCAGTCAACTGCGAGGCCCTCCCCATGCAGAACTCCATTAACCACCACCTCTCTGTTACTGCCATTGTTATACATCCTTTCTATCACTCTGCGGCTCACATCAATCCAATAGAGACGCTTGTCGACGCGATCAAAGTCCGTGGCCACCACACTGGTCAGGCCCTGCAGAATGAGAGAATAGGCCGCCCCATCTGTTGACAGGTTCCTCAGGTAGTAGCGGTTGCTGAAGATCAGGTACGGTGAAATGTTGCTGTTCTGACGGCAGCTGCGCCCATCCGGTTCTCGGAGGAAACCTGGAGCACACTTGCACATGTGGGAACCAACTGTGTTTTCACACAGTTGACTGCACACGCCGGGGGTCTCTGTACACTCGTCGACATCGTCGCACGTTTTGCCGTCAGACATGAGGCGGTAGCCAGGACGACAGGTGCATATAAAGCTAGTAGGTGTGTCGGTGCAATTGTGATCGCAGTGGTGAATGGATGGGTCTGTGCACTCATTGATACCTACAGTTAGAGAAGTAAAAGAGCCCAAAAATTAAAGTAATAAAAAAAACATTTAACCTTTTAACTTGCTATTAATAAACAATTACCAATTACTATATTATAGTGCTAGATCTCTAATCAGTTTCCTAAATTAACGTTCTTGGATGCATTTGTTTGTTACAGATAAGTGTAACAATTTTGCAAAAGTGGATACAAGAGGGAGAATTTGCATATTTGTCTCTCTGAAGCTATTCATTTGAAAAATCCTATAGATATAGAATCATCATTTCTATATTAAGAAACAGTTGTTTTACTCCAGAACTTCAGCCACTGGATACATTTAGAACTTCTTCAGATCTTCTTTACTCCAAGTAAAACAAAATAACTGCAATGATGCAATTACCCTTTTGCCACCATAACACATACAACTATGCTTGAACATTTAACTTTCATCCAGTGACTGTCATTCAAACTCAAAGTCAAATCTCATTTACACTTGGCTCATGTTTGCACACTCTGTCCTCAATTTTTATTATTATCATTGTTATTATTAACAGGCATACATTAAGAGTCAGATAACTGTGTGTCACACAACCAGGTTCTTTAGAATCACCAACTGACCTGATGAGCAGGTCTTTGGACAGGTTCAGACCAGGCGGCTGATACACTGCTGTGCTTTTAAGCCGTTTGCTAGATTGGCTACCTCGTGTAACTACTCTAACTACACTATCAAGTACTTAAGGTTGGGTTGGTAAGTGTTCTCTGTGTTCTCCTTTAGTTTAGTCTATGATATGGACTCATACAACGCTTTTTTTTTGCTCTTTTCAATGTACACATTTTTAACACTCACACACATGCAAACCTGGACAGATACATCATGGGATACTTGGCATACTCTTCCCCAAGGATGCTTCAACATACAGATGCAAGAGGTGAGGACTGAACCACGAACCTTCTGAATAGTCAACAGCCCTCTCTAAATCCAAGCCTAGGTAAGAATTGTGCAACCAGCAAGGAGTGTAAAATGTCTATAAGTGTGGCTGAACAAATAGTATGACTTCTCTATGACTGAACGTGTATGATTTCACACTAGTACAATTCAAAAAGGCAAGTCTAGTTTATACAAATATATTTTCTTGCCTTTTCCAACAGCCAGATTGAAAATGGCTGCCGTCTTGTATTTTTGAAAGACTAATGAGCTTTATCAAAGGAGGTAATCATAAAAGAGTTTACATACCAATTTTGGTGCTTGTATGCACCTGTGAACAATTTCCCAGTAATGTTAAATTATCTGAGGCTCTATTGTTTTACAAAGGTAGGAAAGCTTCAGTTGAGTCTGATGTTGCTGAGCATTCTTCTCAGTGAGGCTCACATCTTATCAGAGCGAGCAAATGCTGTCAAAATACTTTTCACTCACCGCATCCTTTCTCGTCGCTGTTGTCAGAGCAGTCATCACTCCTGTCACACACCTGGCTCAAGGAGATACAGTGACCATTCTCACATTTGAACTCCCCCGGGGGGCAGGTGGGCGCTGGCGTGTGGCACATGTGCTCCAGCTCATCGGACTCATCCCCGCAGTCGTTGTCGCCGTCGCAGACAAAGTCACGTGACACACAGCGGCCGTTCTGGCAGGTGAACTGATGTTGCTGGCAAGGTTGGTACGTGCAGCCCTGCTCATCGCTGCTGTCTCCACAGTCGTTACGACGGTCGCACCTGATTTGAAGAGCAAGGAAAATGAACTCAAATTTCCAGTCAGACTCATCACAGATGATATCCCAGCGTTCCTTCTAACCTGTAAGAGCTGCGTATGCAGAGACCATTATTACAGGTGAACTCGTTGATGCCGCAGGACCTGCGCGTGCAGTTTTGACGCTCATCTAAAGCATCCGCACAGTCCGCATCGCCATCACACACCCAGTCACGGGGAATGCATTTCCTCTGAGGCGGCCTGTTGTTCACACATGTGAACTCTGCACTTGAACACGTTCGATTGGCTGAAAAAGACAAACAAAACAGGCAGGGGCTTTACAAGAAGTTAAATATTGAATGCGGTGACCCAGCGTCAACCTACATATTTTGTGAATCCAAAAACATTCCAAACTGTATTTCAAAACATGCGGCTATGACCACAAATTCTTTATCCGTCTCATGTGATCACTTCACATTGTTTGAAGTGAGTCTCCTACAGCGCTGAAGTCTTTAGCTTCAGGCATCTTATTTTTGGAGCGCATGTTGGTGAAATATAAGAATCTTGATCCACCCTGAGCCAGGAAGCCAAAGAAAGGAGACATGCACAAAGTAGCGAGTGAAGCAGGAGAAATTAGGAATGTCAGCTCCTTGGACTGGAGACCTTCTACAGGACACTTAGATGCTGGCAGCTCACTTCCATTGTCCCTACAAACAACAGTCACCCAGTGGTGTGTACCTAAATCAGCATCCCGAATAACAACAGGAAGCAGGAGGGGGCAATCGAGAAGTGGTGGAGAACAAGAGGATGGTCTTCGAAGCGGAATGGGGCGGTAAAGAAGTGAGAAGATGTAGTAAAATAATTAAGCAGAATTACCAACTCGTGGCTTAATACCTCTGCAGTCAATAGGATTTGCTCTTTAACTGAGTCAATGGTGTAGGGACGAGCCTTCCATTTTAATTTTGAGTTACTGTGTAAAGTTATGTTCAATAGCATGTGTTTTTAAACATTACATCACACCAGAGTCGACCTTTAACCTCTTGGATATTAAATCTTATTTAATCATTTTATCCTGTTAAACATTTCTGTGAACTTTTGCTCGAGTGGCTGAGTGTGTCCCAAGATTTTGGTGATACTGTGGTTGGGTGAATTATAAAGTCATGTCCAAGATTTGGTTTTTTTAGATCGTGGTGACCTTTGACCTTTGAAAAGCAAATTTTTACTCTAACCACCAATTTTTCCAAACTTGTACCAAGTTGGACATTCTCTCAAGGCACTCGGGCAAGCTCACACTCGTGATCGTGGCAAAATTTAGTCGAGATTTCAGGTTATTATCTCATAATTTTACTCATGGATACCCAGTTGTTTTTTAACTGCTGGACAGCTGCCATAGTTACTAGTGCCAGTCTTCTTCTTCGTGTTCTTTTGGATGCTCCCTTTAGGGGCTGCCATAGTGAATCATCTGCCTCCAGGTGACCCTATCCAATTATTTCTCATTAGCTTATTGGATATAGCAAAGACGACCAACTGTCCTCAATGACCCATGCACGGACCAGCACTTGTATCCATGCTGGTTACAAACACAAAAAGGACAAATAGAAAAAAGAGTGAATGAAAAAGGGGGAAAGGATATAGGACTAAAGGACACATACCACAGTTATGTCTCTGGTCTTCATCACTCATGTCACCACAATCATTGTCCCCATCACAGATCCAGGACGAGGCAATGCACCGGCCATCATCGCAGCGAAACTGGTCTGTGTTGCAGGTTCGGATCAATGTGGCTGCAGGCACAAATCACACACATATGTATATAATACACCAACATGAACACAGTGTGGCGACTTTATAACATATGCCAACTCATTTCTATCCAATGTAAATGTTCACTCCCTGTTTTTTTATTTTTGTAATTGCCAATTATCTCAGGTACTTCCCCCATCTGCTTTTCCACTAATAAAGAAGGCACAATACAACACTGGCAAAGCTTTCAAAATAGTCATGGCAACTCCACATTCCCATGCATGGTGAGCTATCTAAACAAAAGCCAAAGTGAGGCTCTGTAACCCCTGGTGGACAAAAGGAGGGGGAGGTGCTGTTTGTCAGAGGACATTGAGGGGCGTCACCACACAGGAATGCAGCACACAATAGGAGGCCTGACTGACCACATCATCAACAAAGAAATACACCACTGACTTGCAGTCTCCGCTACATCACTCACGGAGCTCTCTCACACAGCACGCAGATGCAGATTGGCGGAGAGGCATAAACACACAATAACAGAGCAGCTGATGACGGGGAAGGGGGCAGACACACAAAGCCAAAAGGCCCATTTTGGTGGTGAGAGAGTTTTTTTGCAACACTCACTACAGGAGAGGGGTTCATCAGAGCCGTCACTGCAGTCAGCCCCTCCATCACAGTACCAGTGGGCGGGGATGCAGCGGCCACTCGAGCAACGGAACTCGCTCTGGGAACATGTGGATTGAGCTACGGAGAGGATGCAGAAAGTCATGAAATCTCTTTTTATTTCTAATATCATTCTGGCTCATAATAAATCTTTTTGAGGATTAATATACAGTATGCTGATTTATAGAATCTGGGAGCTGAAAAGTAAAGATCAAATCATTATGTGACAACCTACTAGAATAATTACTTATTTATATTTTTTAATTGTTTTCTCACATTGTATTACAGAAAAATGGTTGCAAATAAAAAACTTAAATATCTGAAAAACCAATAAGTGTCTGAAGTAACATTATGATGCCACTTGTACAATTTTGTGTCAAACAGCATACCTACATAATATTCATTATCTAATTGCAGTACCTGAAATCTCTATCCGCTTCCTAGACCATACAGCATTTTACCCCTTTAGGGTTGTTACCTACAATATGTCAGATGTTATTAAATCATTACGTTGCCTAGCAACCACCCAGCAACGAACTAAAATGACCCATTTTTAGCACATAAACAACATCTACCTCTCCTATTTTTTATTTCATTCATTCTTTTCCTTTTCTTAATGTGATTAAGTATATCATTTTGCCAACACCACAAACATGCCGATGGAAATGTACTAGTAATAAAAACACAGGAGAATAGCAGAATGAATGAATGAATGAATGAATACATAACATAGAATTCCAATACATCAAATTATAGCTACAATGGCTATAATTATATATATATATAGCTATATAGCTCCACCTGTCCGGTCCAAGTCCATTTATTTATCCTTACAGAAACTGTGGGCTTTAAAATAACAGTTTGCCTGATGGCACATGCTGACAATTATATTTCTTTAGGTTAATTATACTTGCTCTTTTCTTCGTTGTGCCACAGGAAACAAAGGAATGTAATTATAAATGAATAAATAAATGTTTTCACTTATTTTTCTTCATAAATTAAATAAATGTTATTAATAACACCCATGTCTTTTCTCCTACTTTGGCACAGAGTTTTAGCAACAGCAACAACAACAGTTACCTGATGCAGTTATCAACAACTGCATCAGGAAAAAATAACAACTTGATCCTGATGTTGTTGTTGAACTTACCACAGTGTGTAGGACTCTCATCACTCATATCCCCACAGTCGTTGTCTCCATCACACAGATACGAGCGTGGGATGCAAATGTTGGTAGACTGACATTTTGTTTGCTCTGGCTGGCAGGTTCTCTCCGCTGAGATGATCGCAAATGAAAGCACATTTAATGCAAAAACAACTTCCATCAGTACTTTCCTCTATGTGGCACACTAAGGATACTCACGGCAGTTTCGTTCATCAGAGGTGCCATTGTCGTAGCAGTTGTTGATACCATTGCAAACATAGTCCTTTGCAATACAGCGTCCGTTGTTACAAGCAAACTCTGTGTTTGGGTCACAAGGTCTGAACAGACAGCCCACTTCATCGCTATTGTCCCTGCAGTCATCATAATGGTCGCAGCGGTAGTGGTAGGGCACGCATCGCCCATTGCCACAAGTAAAGACGGTAGGCTCACAAGTGTGGAAGGCTGCCAAACAGAATCGAGATGAGATCAGAGCTCTGGCCAGAAGAGTGAGATTGAAGGAAATGGGGGCTTGTACACTCGACCATTAAAAGCTCATTTTACCTGACAAGGCAATAAAGGATGACAGCAACTGTGGGACTGCATGCAAAGACAAGTATATTGATTCATGTGTTAGTACTGATTTGTGTTATTGCTCAAGACGGTCATTGGAAAAATAATCATAAATATACAGGAATACACACCAGCGTAGCTGAGGATTGCTTTGTGTCCTTGGAAATAAAATTTTAAAGCAGAAAACGAGCATTTGTTAGAATTAGTAACTTTAAATGATTAAGAGTTGCATTTAACAGAGAGGAGAAGGACCTAAGGAGGGCTCTATAAGGACTGCTGTGAGAGTGAGATTGTTGGTAGCCCAATAAAACTCGTGACAAATTTAGGATTACCGTGAACACCTACCACAGACTCTTTCTAACTCGTCACTTCCATCTCCACAATCGTCGTCATTGTCACATTTCCACTGGGCTCGAATACAGCGGCCATTCATGCAGGCAAACTGCCCTGGCTGGCAGCGAGTCCCATTATCAGGGATACAGTGTTTGTTGTCGGCGAGGTACCAGCGGCCCTCTGATGGACACCGACACTCAGCTCCATTAGGTCCTAACGTAACAAAATTGAAGAACAGTTTGTGTTATTCCTTCTCAATTAAGGCACTAGAAGAAAAACATGCTCGAGACAAAGGGGTTTCTTGTACCTGGAGTACAGATGTGGCTGCAACCTCCATTAAACTGCTGGCAGGGACTGTCACACTGCTGCTGCTTTCTGCCAGCTAAAACGTGGATGTCCATTGGTCGAGATGGAAGGTTCTGGATCATAACCCTCTGGTCAGAACCATCGTGTTTGTTGGCTCGGTAGATGCTGCGGGTGTTCCAGTCAGTCCAGTAGATGAACTGGCCAAACATGGTCATAGCAAAAGGGTAGATGGCTGTGCTGACAATAACTTCACGGTTGGAACCAGTAAGAGAGGATCGCTCAATCTTCTGTCTGATGGCAGAGCAAACAGATTATAATGGTAGTTGCTGCAGATTAACAAGATAACAAGATAAGACATAGTCAAATATATTTTTCAGAAGTGGATTTTTTTTTTAGCTCTTACAAGCTGGCATCTGCCCAATAGAGCCTCTCTTCTTCATAGTCCAGGGTCAGGCCATTGGGCCACACAAGACTACTGTTCACAATCTCTATTCTGAAGTTTCCACCTAAGGTGGCACGCTCGATCTTTGCATGGGTTCCCCAGTCTGTCCAATACATGTATCTGTTGAAAGAGAAAGATTCATTTATAAATGTGCCGTTTATTCTTACGAACGAAGATAGAGTGCTGTGTAAATCTTACCCCCTGCAGGGATCTAACATGATGGCCCTTGGCCTGGACACATGAGCAATTATAGTTCTTTGGGAGCCATCAACAGACATAGAGCTAATGCTCTGGTTGACATAGTCACTGTAGTAAATTCTTCTGTTTATCCAGTCATAAGCAATGCCATCAGGAGCACCAAGATCTGTCAAACCACAGAGATCACAACGCCATGAGCAACGCATCAACACAACTAAACTTACCAACATGAGGGTAAAACACACCTGAAGCCACCACTACAGGAGCCGAGATGGGAGAAGACAGGCTGATGTAGCTGATCTTGCTTGATCCTGCACCGGAGCTCTGGGTAAAGTAAATCCTTCTGTCCACAATGTCAAAATCCAGTGCCACGGAAGTACGAGGCACATTGACGACAGGGAAGGGCAGCGCATGGTCATCCGGATCGAGTCGCAGACTTCGGACAGTGCTCTCTGTAGTATAGATAAGGTAATCGTCCCTTGACACCACACAGCTTTCTCCATCTGCTCCAAGATTCCCAAAAGCACAGCTGCATTTTTTATTCTGACTGCCTGCATTAGAACCTGGGAGAGCAAAGCAGAAGTGGGCACAGCCTCCATTGGCTTCCAGGCAGGGGTTGTAGTTAAGCGCTTGTGCACTACTGGGCTGGGTTCGCTGGTCAAAGATGGTAATGTCCCTCAGCATATTGATATTGTCTCTAATGACAAGTGGCTGCTCTGTGTTTCCTGGCACTTTGCTTGCTTGGAACACCTTCTTCAGGTTTCTGTCCACCCACAGGATGTTATTCTCAAACACTGTAATCCCGTAAGGAGTTGGGTGGCGGCTGCCATACCTGACTATTTCCGTCTCTCCTCCTTGGGGGCTGACTCGAGCAATCATATCCAGAGAGTCATCGACCCAGTAAACATAACCAGTTTGAAAGTCCAGAGCGAGGCCTCGAGGCGTGATGATCCCTGAAGATACTAAAACCGTGCGATTGGTTCCATCCAAGAGCGCTCGCTCAATTTTTGGGTTCTGACCATAATCAGCCCAAAATAAGTATCTGTTTCTGGGGTCTACAATGATGTGGCGTGGCATGTCCACCTGGGTCTTGAGCAGCACCCTACGGAAAGTTGTGTTCAGGTGGAGCACCTCAACATACGTCTCAGTCAGGAAGGCATTGGTGAAATACAAATTCCCTTAGGAGACAAAACCAGTAAAGTGTGCATTTAATATAGTATCAAATCCAGTCATGTTAAGATAGTTTTGAAAGAAACTGGTCATGCTTGGTGTAGCAGTATAAGTTACTGGGATGATTGTGTTATCAGTACAACATGGTAACTGGACTAGCATTTATAGTCTTTTTCTAGTCTCGGCTCATTCACATGTTTTCTGCCATTCATTTTCTCGAGTGTAACCAGCATTTTGCAGCTTGTTGTAAATCCTGTGTATTTACAATTACTAACCTACCTCCTTGACTGCTCTCGATTAGGTAAGATGTTGTGAAGTTGTTTTTCTTTATCACAGAAGTAACTGTGATATTGTGCATGTTAGTTGTCTTCTGTGGTCTCTCAGGCCTTTTGGTGTTGCTGAGTTGGCCAGTGCATTCACTCTTCAACACTCTGAATCAACTGAATCAACTTCAGATATTATGTCTGCTTCCTTTGTCATGAAATAACAAGGCAATGGACCTCATTTGACCGTGAAGCTACTTGTCAGTCAATTGTCAAAATTATTTTTGAGCCTCTGAAAATAGAAGACTGTGGGTAGAAATGGCCACAATTCCTTGACAGTCACTGCAAAAATTCAGCAAAGCTCCTTGAATCAAAGCTGAAAGTCTGCATTTCAGTGAAGTCTTCACTGTTTTATTTAAAGTCCACAGTGATGGAAATTGAGAGGAAAATAACAGACAAACTACTACAACTCCATAAGAAGGGACTGTGATCTATTTGTAATGTGCTAGAAGTTAAATGAATCTCACTGCTGCAGCGTATTGCTTAATGCTAAACAATAAATGACCTCTATAGGAATTAAAGATGCTAAAGCCTAGGTACAGAATACATCCTGTAACAGAGATTAGTTTGCTGTAAACCCATCTGCACATTACTTGTGTGGTAAACAAAACATGTGCTTAAATGAATGAATGGCATACCTGCCACCCAGTCGACGGCAATGCCTCGTATCCCATTGCGTCCGATTCCAGATGTCACAATGCTACGTAATCCTGAGCCATCTGGCTTGATTCGTCTGACCCCGTTCTGTATCGCCACAGTGCTGCTGAAGTCACACCAGTAGATGAAACCAGAAGCCATGTGGACATCAATGTGTAAAGCATTACGGCCTGTAAGAGGATAACCCAGTCATTAGAGGTCATTACTGTCTCTTCAGAGGGAATGAATGCAAACAAACAACAACAGATCGCTCATTTATTTAGTTGATTACAACAAAGACTAACCCACATTTTAAAAAGTTGATTACTAATTTTATTACAAGCTGCATAGTTAATTATGTATGCAACAGTATTACAATCTCTGACCTCTTCCAGCTACTGGCACCATGGCCTCAGAGTGGTCTGACCCTTCTAGACTGAAGCCCTTTATAGCAGATAGAGTAGAGATGACGACGTAAGACTGGTAGGGAGAGCAGGTCCTGTTGTCTGCATTAACTTTAAAACCTGTGGCACATGCACAGGTGAACAGACTCTGTGGCCGAGGCAGACAGAGCTGTTCGCACGCTCCCACGTTGTTTGTGCAGCCATTAGATGTACCTGCGGAGGCTGAGAGCGTAAACAGAATCCAGTGAGACTAAAGAGCAACAGCAAAGATAATATAGGCAGTGAACTGAGGCAGATCTGTGTGTTACTCACTCTCTCGAAAATGAACTTTCAGAACTCTGAGTCCAGACACGTTGTCTCGCATCACGACCTTGTTGGCTCCAGTGGATTTGTCCACACGCTCTATCACCTCAAAGTTGCGGTCAGTGTAATAGAGGTAGTTCTGATAGACAGCCACACCCCAGGGGTGCGACAGGCCTGTCACTATGGTGATGCGGTTGCTTCCGTCGGGATCGCCACGTTCAATCTGCGGCATTTTAGGGAAACCAAAACAAATTAGTGCTTTAAATAAATTTTAAATAATTATCAGGATTAAAGCACCTTAGAGAGAGCTAAGTAAAAACCCACCACGCCAGTGCTTGTTACAGCCCAGTATAACTTGTTCTCTCGGATGTCCAAAGTGATGAACTCAATGTGATCAAGATTGTTGGTGAACAGGGTGACGGGGTTCAAGCCATCCATGTCTGCAGATGCCACCTTGGCAGGGATGCCACTCTCGGTTCCCTGGTCTGTCCAGTACAGTTTGCTTAAGAACATGACAGACAGTGTCAGTGTCTGCCTTTGCAATTTAATCACAGATGCAATACACATGCATATTACTTTTTAAAAGTTTTAAAAGAAACAGAGAAGCCCACTGTTATCGCTATACTGTTTAAATATGAGGCGCAACAATATCAGCATCTTAAAAACTTAAAAACTCCTTTGTCCCACACGCCATCAAACTGTTTAACTCCTCTCTGGAGGGGAGAGGGAGGGGAGACAGGAGGACAGAGGAGGGGGGAACAACTAAGCTGTAGTGCCTCTTCACTTCACTGTGCAATACATTTTGTTAATAGTCAACGGTGCAATAGACCTCAATACTTGAAATGTGCAATTCACTTGTATTTTTTTTATTTTTATTCCTATTTATTCTATTTATCCCCTTCGTATATTTTATTTATATGTGTGTGTGTGTATATATATAATATTCTGCTCACGCTCTGTAACTTCTGTCGGTGCTGTGCTTTTGGAAACCAAATTTCCCAGAGGAACACACCCGAGGGATTAATAAAGTTCTATCTTATCTTATCTTATCTCTTATCTTATCTACAGCAATAACACATAGAGTGGTCAGAGTCATAGAGCAGAAACTTAATGAGCACATAGTGTCTTCATGCGGAAGTAAAAAATCTTAGAAATATCTTGTGCTTGACTGCACACTGCTGGGGTTTTAGAGTGCAGTGTAGTATTCAGTAACACAAGTTGAGATCTCTCTAGAGGCCGAGCAGATGGCAATGAGGAGGCTGTTAGAGCTCAGTAGCTGTGTGGTTGAGCGATCTGTGCCAGGACTGTGTTAAATAGGGCTTACCCACGTGCTGGGTCCACGGCAATGCCAACAGGACTACCAGCGCCAGTTGGAGAGCCGTTATTTGTGATTAGAGTTTTCCGGTACTGTACCTCCCCTCTCAGCTTTAAGACCTTTGCCAAACACAAAGAGGTGCAATTATTGTGCTGCACAACTGCATTGTAACACTAGTTTTGTTTTTACTGAACATGGCATTATTCGTTTCACCTCAATAGACTGTGTAGCTGGATTGGTGTAGTACAGATTCTCTGTTATCCAGTCCAAGGCCAGCCCAACCGGGGAGCCAAGAATGGCTGCAGGGGCAAACTCTGTCCTGTTAGTGCCATCTGACTTCACCCTGTGGATCTCACCCTGAAGGACAAAGACAGACATATTAACCTCAGCATGAGTCTGTATTATGTCTTCTTAGCATGTTTATTGGCTTTTTTTTTTTTTTTTTTAACAATGAACCCTTACGACATGCACAGGATGTCTCTACACAAAACTTGATTTCCTTATTTACTTTTGGGAAAAGGCATAAAGAACTATAAAGCTGTATAAAATTTCTGCACAGTCACTTACTGGGTGCTCCACCCAGTAGATGGTCTGTTCATTGTCATCAAAATCGACATCGTAGCCATTTTGAAGCCCAGCGACAGGAACCATGGCATCATTACTCTTGTCATCCGGGTTCAGGGAAATGCCATAGATGATGCTGTCTCTCACAACCACCAGGAACGGATCCTCAACTAAAGGTGGAGCAAAAAAAGCAAAAACATTAAAAAGACATTAAACGTTTTTTTTCTACAGTATGACAGCAAACCCAAAGCAAAAAAAGAAGAATACTTTTAAAATTATTAAACAAATTCCAAGACAGAGCTCAAAAGATTTGCCCCCAGGATCCTTTCAGTGCATGATATCTGGTGCAAATTACACATCCCTAGACATCCCTAAAAAACCCTTATCTATAAAGAGGATTGACTGGTGAAAGCTGGTTGCACAATCTGATTTGCTTTGTCATCACAGATTAAAATCAATGAATGGTTGTAGGGCATTTTCATTCTTGGATAATCGCTGGCCTCAGGGGGAGACTGTGTCCTGTTTGGTTTGAATGGGTTGAAACCTGAGATGAGTTAAGCTGGTGACCTAACTAAGACTCCTTGAACACTGAATTAAAGGTCCCTTGTCTTTTTAAGACCTTGAAAGACACGCATATGATTCTTTATATTTATAACTGGAACAGCAGTTTACAAGAGAATCTAAATGGGAGACTGTTGACAAGTATCTGGATCGTTCAGGTTAGTGTTTTCAAAGATTTATTCTCTTACCAGCATTGAGATAGCTGCAGATAAAGCATGAAAGCGCCATCCTTTCTGCTGTAGCAATAACCACACCTGATGAAGACCTGAGTATTTCAACATATCTGCTACATCTGATCTGACTTCCTTTTTCATCAAACTGAGTGATGAGTGTTTTCCTCCATGTGGCAGGGCGCATACCTCTGGTGCAGGTGATTTGGTCCGCTGCCAGCATCCAGCCTGAGGGGCAGGCACATGAGTAATACCTCGGTCCCACAGCAGACAGGAGGCAGATATGAGTGCAGGAGCTCCTCAAGCAGTGATTTTCCCCTGCAAGTTGTCAAACAACACATGCACACAGACAGAATCCTAAAAGTCAGGTTCTCTCATCATGTGGCCAACAAAATGGTCAGCATCAGCGGATAAAGATGAAGCAAAGACTAGATCAGGTTCAGTCTATTCATCATACCTGCTGGCTGCCTGGCTGGGTGCACTGCCACCAGACCCATGGGCTGAGGGAGGTTGAACAGCATCACTGTCTGGTTCTCCCCATGCCACTTATGAGCTCGCATCACACGGTTGATGTATCTGTCGGTCCAATACAGAAAATCCTCAAAAATGGTAATTGCGTGGGGGTGTTGCAGTACCTTTTCATAGAGAGTAGCAAAAGAAAAAAAGGTGTGTCTCACACATGCTATTCAGAAGAAAACTGATTATTAACATAAACGTTATCATTATAGATGTATTACTAGCATAAAGTCTGCTATCTCATACACTCACCAGGTCACTGGCCAAGACTTGCTTCCTGTTGTTGCCGTTATAATCGCAGAAGTCAATGAAATCCAAGTAGGCATCGGCAAAGTACAACAAATTGTTTGGGTAGTCTATGGTTAGACCATTAGGCCAGTACAGTTTGCTGCTTATGATTACAGTTCTTTGCTTTCCATCCATGCTGGCCCTCTCGATGCGGGGGTTCCTCCCCCAGTCGGTCCAGAACATCAGGTGAGCACTAAAAAAAGAAACTCTCTCTTAATATCAACTTCTTGGGTGATGAGAAGCTGTGACCATAAAATACAGATTAAAACACACAGATCCAAATTCTTCTCACCTGTCTCTCGGGTCCAGCACTAGACCTCGGGGGTTGGTTACATTTTCACTCACTAACACAGTTCGGTGGGTGCCGTCCAGTTTAGACACTTCAATTGTCTCCAGGACGTAGTCAGTCCAGTACAAGTTCCTCCCCACCCAGTCCACAGCAAGGCTCTCTGTCACAGTCACTCCACTGTCGAATATCTGTGCATTAGAGACTCATTCTTAGTTAATATGCTTGACGGTCAAATCTCACTTCATTCAGAGCTGTTTGCAAACTACACTCACCACGACTCTGTCGCTGCCATTTTTGTGAGCACTCCAGATTCTGTCCTGGCTCGTATCAGACCAGTAAACCCGCTCAGTGACTGAGTCAAAATCTAGGGCGACAATGTTGCGTCCATCTCGAACAACTGACCGGACTACGTTGGGTTGGGTGGTAATGTCATCTTGCACAATTTGATTCCGACTTGCCACCAACAGGAAAGCCTGACGAGAATCTATAAACATGAATCAAAATCCCTGTTATCTATTTTTCCATTTCCATTCTTGTGCTAATAAGAGGACTTATCAGCTTTTGTGTGCAGACCAAAACCATACAAAAAGACGGTTAAATAGCCCCTACTCAAATGACAATCCTTTGGGAAGGAGCTTTTGTCCTAATAAGGTCCTATTGTATTGCAAAGTCTTTCAGCGGGTTATCTGTTGGGAAGAGGAGCTCATGTCAGGCACGCTCCCCATACACAGCCCTTTGTTTGAGATTATGTCCTAATTACACTGGTGATGGGCAGTGAGTGACATACATGTTATTTGCCTTATCCTATGAAATCAGAGCAGCAAAGAGAGACAGGACAGAAGAAATAGAGTGTCAGTCTTGCAGTCTGGGGTCTAAGCTCCCCTTTTAATGTGCCTCCTTACAAGAAGCAGCACAGTGGAGAAAACTAAGTATGTGCTGTATAGGCAAATGACTACAAGGCTGATGATCTGCCTTTTTCCTACTTTTATCCATCATGAGATTATGGATAGTTTTTAAATGAGGTGTATTCAGTGCACAGAAGGTTTGAGCTGTATCCATCCTCACCTGATGCCTTGCAGGTACGCTGGTCTGCTTCAAGAGTGTAACCATCCTGGCAGTGGCAGCGGAAAGAGCCTCTCTCATTAAAGCAGTGCTGGCTACACAGTCCAGGGGGATTACACTCATCAATGTCCTCACAAGTTTTGGAGTCATTGCTAAGCTGATAACCCACAGGGCATGTGCACTGGGCCCCAAATGGACCTTGGATACATCCATGGGTGCAGCCAGCATTGTTGTCTGAGCAGCTCTCCTGATCTGAGTTAAAAGGAGGGAAAAGACAATTAAGTAGTGAAAAAAAAGTAAATTAGGCCTTTAATAAATATGCAGCAATCTAATAATAATAAATTTTAAAAAAGCAGTCACTACATTAATTAGGTATCCTCAGAAATATTATTCTGAGCCAGGACTATTTTTATGCCTGTTTGTGGTACATAATGAAAAAACATCTATATAACTATTAAAACACTCAATAGAAATGCTGCATCTGTTGAAACATGAATCAAAACTACAACTGCAGAATTTCTAGCAGTGATTGAGAGTTTGCTTGTTCCTACCTGGCAAAGGTTCATCTGAAAGTTGTGAGAAGGGCAAGAAGGGAAAATCACAGATCATTTTCAAGTTAATACAGGACAAATCACATACATGCTTGATTTTAAAATGAGAATACAAAGACAAACCGATGGCATTCAACACAAAATTTCTGTGAATTTAAGGCCGTCCTGCTTATAGAAAACAAGAACCAGAAAATTGTCAAATTAAACTAAATCAGCTGAGAGATTGATCCTGTTTCGCCATGTGATGTGAAAATGTAATTGAATTTGGTGAGGCCAGACTCACTCAAGATTACGGTCTAAGCTGAAGAAAGCAGAGAACAGACTTACTGCAAAGGGGAGACTCGTCAGCACCATTGGGGCAATCAGGAGTGTTGTCACACACTGTGGTGAGGTTTATGCACACACTGTGACCGGGACACTGCCACTGCCAGCTTGGACACCGGAAAGGTGGTGTGGGACAGTCTCTTTCATCACTCATGTCTCTGCAGTCGTTGTCCCCATCGCAAATCCAACTGCGAAGCACGCAGTTTCCGTTATCGCAACGGAACAGCGAGGAAGGGCAGGTGCGAGGTGGGCAGGCGTGGTGCTCATCACTGCCATCCTCGCAGTCTGGATGACCGTCACACTCCCATGAAGATGGGATGCAGCTTCCGTCTGATTGACACTGAAACTCACTCTCGTGGTGGCACATCCCTGGGGGCCTGGTAGCTGAAAATTTTTTTAATACATTAGCAGGCTAAATAATTATGCAGGACTTTGCTAGTATAACCTCTGACCACTGGAAGCATTTAAATACTTACGACAGTTCTGCTCATCTGAGCGATCGCTGCAGTCAAAGACTCCATCACATCGGTAGTAGGAGTTGATACACTGGTGACCCCTGGAGCACTTAAACTCATTCATAGTGCAGTTGTATACTGAAAAAAATCCAGCCACATACATTAATGCTGATATTTTATATTTCTGAGCTTAGCTATTATGCATTTAGATCAATAAATTAAGAAGCTTGGGAAATGTTTGTTGAATATTAAAGAGGATACTGTAATGCATGAATGACCAAACAAATTAATTAATCCCTTATAGGGAAATGGGCTGTATGAATAAGACACCAGTTCATAACAACTTCTCAAAGTAAGAGACCAGGCTGCAGTAAGTTTACAATTAGATCTTCAGAAGTCAAAGTGATCTAGTGAGCAACTAATATTATTAGTTTTATAACTGCAGGCAAAATGAAATTAAACTGATTTTACTAAACACGCACATGTGCTCTAAACACAATGCTTGGCACACTGCAAGTCAGCCCCACACTAAACCAGCAAAGTTTATGGGGCTAGCAACTCTGTGTATAATCTAGAACGCTACTTACTGCATCCCTGCTCATCCGCCCCATCCACACAGTCTCTGTCTCCATCACAGACATAGTTAGGATCTATACAGCGGTGGTCTGGACACTGAAACTGTCCCGGATGGCACGTGTTTCCCAGATCTGTCAACGCAAAATGTTAGAAAAAAAACATGAGCCTGTGAGTTAATCTCCTACATTAGTGGGCAATGCATATAATAGTGTACAAGTCTTAGCTTAAAACGATGTTATTTGTAAGAGGAAAAACAACCGTGCTTCTTCAAAATCTAATCAGTGGCAACGTGCAGCGAGTCCACAAAAGAGTCAGTGTTCTCCAAAGAAAAAAACAGGATCTTATTAGGGAACTTGGGTCTGGTAGGGAGTTGATGTGCATGTTGCCTGAGAAGTTAAATCATTAAATAATATTTATAAAATACTAATCTTCACTAGCCTACTGACTAGCTTTAACACACTCACACACACATATATATGTAAAGAAAGTTTTTTCAGAGGACTCTATGCAATCCTGTGAAAAACTAATACAACCTCACTGGTTCTATATATATTAAGAGCAAATAGCAAGCAGGTGCTGCTAATCTAATGCACTTAATTAACTGATTATCAGTGAGTATCAGAGGTTTTGCCAGATTGCTCATCTGCAGCTGCAGCTGCTCATCTGTTAACACAATGCTGCAATCTGCTCAGGAGTGGAAATCTCATCAAATTAACCCCAAGGTGAGATCATACAAAACTTAGAGAAATACAAATGCCCTCCCCAAAAAACAATAATTACATCTCAGACTCTACAGGCCTCACTTAGCATTTTAAATGTTATATTTCTTGAGAGTATAGTTAGAAAAAGACTGCACAAGTGTGGCCTGTATGGGTTCCCAGGAGAAAGCCTTTCCTTTTAAAAAAAAATGAATGTGGCAGCATGGTTTAGGTTTGCAAAATTGCATTTAAACACACCGAAGATTTTTGGAACATTTGTCAGATAGATGAAACCACAGTGTAGATGTTTGGCCACAATGCACAGAACCATATTTGGGCAAACCAAACACAGGATACCAGTACAGACATCTCCAGCTATTAAGCATGGTGGAGGAAGGGTGATGAATTGGGCTTGTTTTACAGCCACAGCTCTCACCATCTTTTGGTCATTGACTTGACTACAACACCTCTGAAAATCAAAGTATTCTAGAGTCAGATGTGACAGCTGTCTGACAGCGAAAGCTTAGCTGAAACCGAGTCATGCTACAAATCAATCAAGCAGCAGATTTACAACAGCATGGCTAAAAAAGAATCACGTTGTTTAAATGGCCCAGTCACAGTCCAGGCTTCTACCTGACTGAAATGTTGTGATTGAACCTTAAGAAAGCTTTGCATAAACAAATGCCTGCAACCCCCAGTGAAATAAAGCAACGATGTAAAGAAGAGTGGGCAAAATTCCACCACAATTAGATGAGAAACTGATAAACTCATACAAAATTCAGTTACTTTCTCGTGTGTATTGTGTTGAGATACCAAGATAAATCTCTAAGCAAATCCTATTTATGTTAAAGTTTTAGCTTCTTTAACAGCACTTACGGCAATCAACTTCATCCGAACCGTCGACACAGTCATTATCAGTGTCGCAACGCCAGGTGTGTGGGATGCAGCGGTGGTTGGCGCAGGTAAACTGATTGGCAGGGCACGTTCCAGGCACGTGTGTTGGGCAGTTGATTTCATCGCTGTTATCAAAACAGTCATTTTGCCCATCACAGCGCCATCCTGCAGGCACACAGCGCTGATTGGCACAGGTGAACGCAGACGGGGAACAAGTGGTGTCTAAAACAAAAGATTAGAGTTATCATCTTTAATTTAAACCATATTAACAAAGGCTGAGTAAAAACCCAAAGGCAAGATTTTTTTGTAGGATTAATTTAGTTGATTATATAATCAACTAAATTAAAGAAAAAAAATGCATTACTATTAATGCCACAGTTGACTTCATCACTGTTGTCATGGCAATCATCAACACCATCGCATCTGTAGCTGTTTGGGATGCATTTGCCGTTGCCACAGGAGAAAGAGTTGGCTCCGCACTGCAGTGTGGGGGGCTCATTGGAAAGGTCCTCCACACAAGCCCGTTGGTCTGGCGACAGCTTCATGCCATATGGGCAGCCACACACCCTCTGCGAGTCTGGGGCTGGGAAGCAGAAGTGGCTGCAGTCTCCATTAGGATTTGCCGGCCTGTTGCAGAGGTTGGAACCTGAGAAGAGGAGTGGAAGCTAATTAACAGGAATATGACTGACAATTGCAGGCTGAGGCTACGCATGGCAAGCGGAGTGAGAAGAACAGTGAATAAAGGTACTCACCAATCTGAGAGTTGGAGTTGAAAGATTTGACATGCATGATGCCGCTAATGCCTCTTCTGATAATGACCATCTCCCCACCGTCGGTCTTGCGCACACGTACAATGCTTCCCATGCGCCAGTCAGTGAAATATGCATAGCCTTTAAGGGACAGGAGAAATGGAGCACAGCTACAGTTACTTCATCTTTCACCAACATCTGCTAACAACAATTGTCCATTTAACATGATCATCACCAAAGCAAGACAAGACAGTTTTTAGCAATCAAAACTCACTCATCATTTAGATCAAATGTAATGATATTGTACTAGATAACAGGGTAACTTAAAGCTGATGCCTAACCTTCAAAAATGGTGAGACCAAATGGATGGGAGATCTGGGATATGCGCTCCAAAGAAAGTCTGTTCTGTCCATCAAAGTTGCTGTGCTCTATTTTGTCAAAGAAGGCATCCACCCAATACAGACGCATAGAACTGTGAGGACAACAAAGCAAAGAAATATAAATTTACAATCAACAGCCACGTTGAAGCTAAGAGTGGTTTGTAGGATCAACAGTTTATGGGTAAAAAAGAGTAATGGTATATTGTTCACCTCCAGTCGATAGCTAGGCCATTTGGCCAACCAAGAGTAGTGTTTACAATAGACAGCGCATGTGACCCATCACCCCAAGCTCTCATAATCTTCGCTGGCCGGTACCAGTCAGTCCAAAAAATATACCTGATGAAGAAAATGAATAGCACAACATATTTAATTCAGAAACTCTCCCACTTAAGCAAAACCATTAAAGTGCATGACATTTTTATCTGAACTTTTGTCAAAGCAGATCATTTTTGTTTATTTGTTTGTTTGTTTAAGCCAACTTCTTAGTCTTCATTACGATACTGCCTTTCACATAATCAGCTAATCTCAGCTATTTGGCACAGGGGCCTTATGACTTTGAGGCCAAAGGAAATAACAGCTTGTCCTAAATAATCATTCTTTTTTATCAAGGCAGAGTTTAATTTGTGGATACTTTATGAATGGGTGACCAGGGACCGCACTTTGCGTGGGACTGCATGCCATTTTTATGCCTCGTACCTGTATGAGACTATGTCCTGCAGACTTAAAGGTGAGAGTTTTTTTAATTTAATCATTAATTTCACATGGGGGACAATATGACATGAAGAGACACAGCAAATGTGAACTCTACAGAAATGGTGCGAATTTATGTGAACAGCAGCTGAATGCAGTTTTTACAGTTACTAGTATAGAAAAAGGCAATATATTAGTGCAAGAACATTAGAGCATAAGGTTAGATGGACAAACTTGTAGTTTTACATTTTCCTTCAGTCCACTGTAAAGCCCTGGCAAAGAGAAGATGGAGGCATTTCCCAATCATGTTCACATATGGCTTCTTCTTTGCATCATAGAGTTTTAACCTGCATCTGTGGCTGGTACAGTGAACTGTGTTCACAGACAGTGATTTATGGAAGTTTTTCAGAGCCATGCAATAATTTCCATGATAGAATCATGCCTGTTTTTAGCACAGTGCCACTTGAGAGTCCAAAATTATCAGGGTTATTAGCTATTTTTGGCCTTGTGCACATAAATTTCTTCACATTCTCTGAATTTTTTGATGCTATTATGCACTATAAATGATGAGATATTCAAAGTCTTCACAATTTACCTGGTGCATGTAATGGTGAGCATGAATTTGCTTTAAGGAAACACAGACAGACAGAAAAATACTAACAATTCTTTGATGTTAAAGTGATTTACCCAATAAGAGGATGCACCACAATAGCTCTGGGGTTATTGAGGTTACGAATGATGGCCCTCCTGGACTTATCAGCTAGCTTCATGACGGATATGCTTCTATATCGGGGGTCAGTCCAGTAAAGGTTCTTTGAAATCCAGTCGTAAGCCAGGTCCTCCACTCCTTCTACTCTGTTGGCTGCCAGTACCTCCCTGCCTGTGCAGATCAAAGCAGTCAGAGCACCGTTTAACATAGAGATGAAAGAGGAACACATTTAAATAAATAGGCTGTCAGCTTCCATTTACCTCTTCCGGACCGGACAGAAAAAACTAGAGCTCCAAAAACAACACCCCTGATCAGAGCAGTGCTGTTTCTTTCTTTCTTTCTTCCTCTGTGTGTGTGTGTGTGATAGTATTTCTGCTAAATTATAGTATTTCTGCTTTTTATATTATTTCTGCTTTTCATAACAAAAATGCTTGGTCCTTATTATTTCT